CGACCCCCGCCCCAAGCATCTCCGTTCACACGGTCCTTCAGCAGGCATTTATTAAGCACCTACTCTGCGCCAGTTTCTGAAGCTTCAAGCAACGGAAGTCAGCGGCCGGGTGCGAGGGGGGCTCTGAGAGGCTCCAGGGTGTCATGGGAGCCGCTGGGGGTGTCCTGGAGGTCTTGGGGAGGGGTGGGAGCGGGGTGCAGCCTGAGCCAGCCCAGGTCAGTGGAGGCAGAGGCCCAGGTCAGCGGAGATCCAGGAGCCACCGGGGACGAGGTCCCTGGGAGCCGCTAGGCTCTGGAGAGGCGGAGGGAAAAGGAGAGCCCGGCAGGGCAGGGGCCGCCATCCGTGCCACCCTGAGCCAGCGCACTGAGCCCCGCAGGGCCGGAGTGTGGCACCCCACCATTCAGCCATTGTGTCTTGAAGCCCCCACCCTGAAGGGCTCCCCCGCCCCCCCCAGTGAGGATGCCTGAGGCTTGGACTTCGCCCTCCAGGCGTCTGGGGCTAGCCAGGGGGAGATAAGCACACAGCTCTCAACTCTGCCAGCGGGAGATAAGGGGTAGGGTGGGAGAGGCCGCAGAGCCCGGGCAGCCGGGGAGGGACCCGTCCTGCAGTCACGGGGTTGGGGGGGGCATCTGAGATGGGCATCCGCTCCCGGGCCCGGGCCAGACGGCGCAGGGTGGGCGACGCCACCGTGGGAAGGGGTGAGCAGCTGTCACGGAGCCCGGAGGCTTGTCAGCTGCAGAGGGCCTCGGAGGGGGGAGGTCCCACTCGCGCTGTGACTTCAGCAGAAGCCCAGCCTCTCTGAGTTGTGTCCTCGTCGCTCGGACAGGCCAGAGAGGTGCGGAGCAAGGTTACAAGATGGCTGCAGGGGACGTGTGCCCATGCCCGGTTCGGAGGAAGAACTCAAAAACCAATTAAGCAATTTGGATTTTATTCCTAGGTCTGTGTTTCCGTTGTTTTAAAATTTATTATTAGCAGCAGAACACCTTCTTCTTCAAGTGAAAATCCCTCCAGAACACCGTGGCATAAAGAAGAGGCGGGAGCGAGCCTGGGGCAGGGTGGGGTCTGTGGTCCTGTCCACTCTGCTGCTCTCCCCTCAACCTCCCGCACAGGGGGTGGGGAGCCTGGGGGTCGGGGCTGGGCTGCAGGGAGGTGAGACGGGCCAGAGGGAGGAGAGCCTGGCTCAGGTCCCTGTCCGGGGTGGGCCCAGAACCCTTAACCTCACCGGACCTGAGTAGTACTTCTTCCGGGGAGAAGATGGAGGCTCAGGATCTGCTCAGATTTATTGAGCCTGGGCTGGGGCTCAGCTCACCAAAGGTGGGGGAAGGGGACAGGACAGCACAGAGGCTGGGTGAGCAGAGCGCTGGGGAAACGCAGGTGGTGGGGGTGCCCAGGGGTGCTCAGGATAGAACGGGCTTCAAGGAGGCATCTGGAGGCAGCCAGTGCTTGGTTGGCGCTTGGAAAAGTGGTCAAGAATGAATCTGGGAAAATGCTGGGAAGGGTGCTCCAGGCAAAGGGAACAGCATGAGCAAAACACAGAGGCACAGCAGCGCACACGGAGTACAGGTGGGGAAGTGAAGAGGCGCAGGCTGACCAGAGGGGAAATGGAACCAGGTGGGAATGTGGCAGGAGGGAGTGGAGTCTCGAGAGCGGCCCTGGGAAGCAAGTCCCCACAGCCCGCCGGAACCCAGCCCAGCCCCTCCGCTCCCCACGGGTCCTGGCGGCTGGCATTGAGGCGAACATACCTGTGACCTATGGAATTGGCAGCCAGAGGGAGGCACGAGCACTGGCTGTCAATTCATAGGTCAGAGCCCTGTGCGCTCGGTCTCAGCAGCCTGCCGACCGTCTCCGCCACCCCGGGCTGGGAGCGTGGCCTGGAGGTCCCCATGGGCTTGGGGGCCGCAGCGCCTCTCCTCCTCTGTGGACACCAGCCACCACCCCAGATAACAGCAGCCCCACTGGAACCAGTGGGCACTTCCACATGGAGTTGCTGTTACAGGGGGTAGAAGCCAAGCAGAGGCAGAGCTGTCCCCCGAGCCCTGTCCCTGGGTCAGAGGTGGGGTGAGTGTCTGTCCTGCACCTCTGTCTGGGCTGCCCAAGTTCTCGGGGCCCCAGGGCCCTGGCCTTTTTATTGGGGATCCTTATCATCGGGGCCCACACCTGGATCTAACGCCTGCACTCCTCCTCTGGGCGAAGTCCAGTCTCAACCCCAGATCTGCTCATAAAGCCGGGAGTGGCCCCCATTTACAGCTCCCGGGCAGCCTTTGCCCGCACTGGCACCCCCACGCACTCTGCCCCAAGTTCCTTGTTTCCTCATTTCTTTCCCAACCAGAGCTGGGCCCCAGTTCCAGGTTTGGCCACCGTGGCCTCCGCCCTCTGCCCTTTGCCCACCCTCCCTGCCACAGCCACAGGGCAGAGAGGGACAGTGAGGGGCAGCTGGGCATCCTTCCCTCTCCGGGACCCCCAAATGCTCGGATGCCTCTGGGTGGCTCCCTGTGAGAAGCTGCAAATAAGACCAAGAGAGAAGGGGCGTGGGGGAGAGAAAGTGGGGGAGCGAGGCAGAGGCCACAAGACAGATGAGCGGAGCATGCAGAGAACTGGGAAAGAACAGAGAAAGTGGGCAGGGAGGGCCAGGGTTGGGGAAGGAGGCAGGGACCTCAGGATGATGCTCTGTGAGGGCCTCCCTGGTGGCGCAGGCGGTTGAGCGCAGGTCTGTGAAGCTGTCTGTGGCCTCTGCAGCTCCGGTTCGATCCCGGCTGGCCTCGGAGCAACCCACATGGCGCAGCAGACCTCCCCTGTCTCGCCCGCTGCTCCCCTCAGCAGTGTGTTTCAGTCAATCTGCCTGTTCTGCTCCCCACTCTGTCTCTGGTGAATCCTCTCCCCCTCCCGCGCATCTGGCCTGTACCCCAGCTCTTGTATAAATACAATAAATCTTTTTTTTTAAAAAAGAAGCTGCTGTGTGCAAACCTGCAGCGTGATGCGCAGCCTCTCCTCAATCTCACATGGCGCGGGCACCGAGAGCCGGCAGGCCCTGGGGGCTGGGTGACCTTGAGCAAGTGGCCTAACCTCTCTGAGCCATGTTCCTCATATACAAACCAGGATTGTGAGGCCACCGGCACCCTGGCCTGGCCCGGTGGGAGCCCCCTCCCTTCAGCCTTTGGGCCTGTCTCCTCTGGGGAAGGAAATCGCTGCAGGCCGTTGGCCGGAGCCAGCAAGGCCCCGGAAGCTGAACTTTTTCCTGCAATGCGGCTCTGCTCTCAGGACAGGCTCTGGCCGAGAGGCTTCAAGTGACAAGTGTCAGTGTGGGGCCCGCAAGGTCCCGGCAACACTTTGCAGACCCCAAAGCTGCTAGAAAGGAAGGGGAGCTGCGACTGAGCTTTCAGAGGGGACTAGGCCATGGCCCCCCTTCCAGGCAGTGGAGATGGCCAGAGAAGCCCCGGAAGCGGCCCAAGGTCACAGAGCAGGGCCGTGGGGTCCCCGCGCCCTGGCTAGGCCTGCAGTGGCACCCGCCCTCCCTGCTGGGCTAGTCAGGGTAGGAGAGGGGGTTCTCCTGGCAGGAGTCTGCAGCCTGGGAGGATGCGCCTGCGAGTGAAGCTGCCATAGACACCGCCTCCCCAAAAGCAAGCCTAGTGGGCCTCCCAGAAGACACTTGGCAATACCAAGGACCCCGCCAGGCCGCAGCGGGGACAGGAAGGCCACTGCCCAATCAGGCGCCCCTGGCCCCTCGTTCCACCAGAGGAGACCGAGGCCCAGGCGGCAGGGACTCGTTCGCCACAGCCTAGGTCCCTCCTTCTCCCTTCAGACAGGCTTGGCCTGCGGAGAGGTGGCTTGGAAGCACCGGGGTCGAGGGTGGCAGGGATCTGGCCGCTGGTAGGAGCTTACCTGGGTGCCTGGCTGGCCCTTGGGCACGAGGAGGAAATGGAGACACCCTCGGCCCTGGCCCTTTTGAGCCGTTGGCCCAGCCCCTGGCAGGGGTTAATCATTACCCGCTGCCTGTCAATATGGATCGCAAGTGCGGTTCGAAGGGCAGGGAACCCTGGACTGTGCCCGGGTGGGGTGGGGAGGTTCCAGGAAGCTGGGCCCCCACCCCTCCTGGGGCCATCAGACCCCAGCCTGCACCCTCTGGGCCCCCGTGACCACGGGCAGCCGGAACAAGACTGTCCTGCTTACCTGTGCCCAGACTTGAGTGGGTACCAGGGCCACAAAAGGCAGCTGGGGGGCCCTTGCCAACCCGAGAGGTCTGCAGATGACCCCAGCAGGGTGAGGGTTCGTTAGGGCTGTGTCTCCTAGCCCAGGCCTCAGTGTCCCTAGAGCCCGCCCGCCTCAGTGAGGTACTACCAAGTTTCGGTGTTCACAAGAAACAAGGAGTGTGTATGGGGACAGGGGCACACGATGGCATTTTCCCGATCATCCCAGGTGAGTCTGTTAGGATGCCCCTCTTCTCCAGTGTCCTGAAGCTGGGCCCCCAGGGCTGAAGCTCCAGGTACCCCAAAAGCCTTTTGCTAGAGATGGTGGGAGTGGCCTCCGGAGGGCCTGCCTCGCCTGGTCCCTGGTCAGCTGGGCGGGGGCCACCAGGAGGAACCGAGACCCAGAGACCACGGGTGGGTCTCAGGTCTCACAGCCAGTGTCCGGGCTTCCTGGGGGCGCCCCACAGCCCTGCCCTTTGCTCTGGTCCCGCGCCCTCCCAGCCGGGCCCTCACACCTGGCGCAGGCAAGGATGGTCCCAGGGCTCTCGCAGGGCGAGAGAGGAGTTATGTGGTCTGGGTGAGGAGGATCCTAGGTGCCTGTCCCCTGCCCACCTTCACTCAGCTCCTGCCATGTCAGAGGTGCACAGGGTGACGCACGGAGCCCACAGGTGCTGGCGGCAGAGTTGGGGGACCCGGCCTGCTGGGCAGGTGGGAGGGTGTGGCGCCGAGGTGGGGGCAGGGGGCGTGGTGCTGAGGTGGGGATCTGGCAGCCCCCAGGCGGAGGCCACGCAGAGCGGGCACACGGGCGGGCTGGCGGTGGGCAGTTTATTCCACGTCATGCAGACACTGATCCACACGCGCAAGGAGCTTAAAAATAATACATTGAGCCACACAGTGCCTGTCCCCACCCCTCCCCGAGACACAGAAAGACACTTGGCTGAGTGGGGTTGTGGCCCGAGGGTCCGAGAGCCCCTGTCCTGGGACAAGGCAGCAGTACGGGCCCGGGGATGCAGGGGGACAGTGTCCTTTCTCCCCCAGAGGAAAAGTGCAGAGTCGGCACTGAGGCAGGGAGGCCCCAGTTCCACGGCCAATTGGCAACGGGCTGACCAGGCAGGGTCTTCCGAGGGCTCGGCCCCCAGCTATGGGCAGCAGTTCTCGGAGGCGCGTGGGAGCCACTGAGGCTTGGGGGTGGCCGGCAGGCAGGCGGCCCCCTCGGGTCCTGGGCACCTATGCTCAGTCCTGTGTCTCGTCCGAACGCCACTTGAGAGCGTGCTCCTTGTGTGCGTCGGGCAGGATCTGGTTTCGCATCCCGCCGAGCAGGCTGGACGTGGCCTCCGTGGCGAGGATGAGGGGCTTCACCACCGTCGGGGGCAGCTGGCGGATCACGCCTCCCACAGCGCCCGTCAGTCCCTTCTGCTCGTGGCCCCGAGACGCCACATCGCAGATGGTCTGAGCCGTGTCCAGGATGCCCTGCGAGGAAGGTGGGTGGTGTGGGCAGGTGTGGGCAGCCGCGGGCGGTGCTGGGCGCAGACACGGGCAGGGCCTCCTTACCTCTCGAACCGTGTCGTAGGCCTTGGCCACGCCCTCCCGGAGGTCGGCGGGCTGCTGGCCCTTCCGCAGCTTCTGCCCCGTGCGCCTGTCCTGCAGGGAGCGGGAGACGGGTGCCGCCGGGGACAGGATGTCGTAGACGGTCTCGGCCGTGGCCTGGGAGCAGGGGGCACCGTGAGGAGAGCTGTCAGGCTGGCCCGGGGGCCTGACTCAGCTCCTCGGCCCAAGGTCGGCCTCCCACAGCTCAGCTCTGCCCTGCTGCCTGGGGTCTCGCCAGGGCCCCACCTCAGGGCCAGAGCGCCAGGTGGGGGCTGCCTCCCACAGGGACCCTCTGCCTGCCAACCAGCAGGCCCTGTGCCCGCCCCGCATGTGGGGACTATGGGGCAGTTTGCCAGAGGCTGAGAGCACCAACCTCCCCCTACCTGTCGCCCAGCAGAGACCAGGGCCCCCCTCACGCCAGTCATCAGCAAGTCAGCGGCCGAGTCCCCTGCTGTTCTCTCTGCCCCCCCGCACAGTCCTTCCCACCTAACCTCACCAGGCTGTGCTTTTGGGGGACTCTCCAGCGCCCGCGTGCCCCTTCAAACTCCCCTCTAGAGACCTGCCCCACGCCCACAGGGCTGGGCTTTCCGGTCCCAGAAAGCACTGTGCCCCTCCCCCTGACTGCCTTCGTAGCCCCCTGCCCGGCCACAGAATTCATCACCCCACACCACACAGGGCTGAGTGAACCAGGGCCGTGCCTACACACAGGACCACCCCCTTCTGCACCCCCAATGAGACACGGCAACAGGCAGACTGTCAACCTGGGGGGCACGTACCCTCTCCCATGGGAGCCCCTGGGACTCGGGTTTGGGGCCCTGGCTATGGACCCAGCGAGTGGCTTGGCCTCTCCTCTCCATGACCCAGGCCACACTCAGACAGAACCAAGAGCAGTGGGGGAACGCCCCCCACCGAGGGCAGACACCGGCCCCTCACCTGGATGGCCTGCACCAGCCGGTTGCTGAGCTCCAGGGCGGCGGAGGCAGTGGACGAGCCAAAGGAGGCGGCTCCCCGCTGCAGCCCCCGCATGAGGCGCCCGTCCTTCCGATACTGCTCAATGGGCAGCCACAGCAGGTCCCGGAACCCTTGGACTGGGGCGTCGGTGTGTCAGAGACGCCCTGGGGTGCTGCCCCACTCCCCGCTGCAGGACCTCCTCCACCCACTCCCACTGGCAGCTCTGGCTGCCCAGGGGGAAGAGCAGTGCGGACCCCCACGGCCCCGGACACTCACAGAGCTGGACCACAGAGTGCATGGGGCCCACGCCCCCCAGCAGCCCGGGCAGCTGGTTCTTGCGGATGTCCTGCAGCCACTCGTTGAGGGCATAGCCCAACACCTTGTCCACCCCCAGGAGCCTGGGAAGAGGAGAGGGCGGGTGGGAGGTCACACCTGGAGGGGCCCCAAATCTCCCTGTGGACCTGCCCGGCCCACGCAGAGGAGCAGTTGTGGTCACTTTCCAGAGACAAATGGGGCGACGTCTCGGCCAAGGCCAGAGCCAGGCAGGAACAGGGCGGGGGGATGCGGGCCACAGGGGTGCTCACCCATGCCGGCAGCACAGCCGCTTCAGCTTCAGCTCGGAGCAGTTGAGCTGGGCCAGGCCAATGAGGAGGCCCGCGAATGTGCCCTGGGGGGGAGGAGGGAGGAGGGGTTCAGGATCACGAGACGGGGCTCGGGCACTGACTCAGCAGCCTCTGGTTCCTCAGGAACTGGGCTGTAAGCCTGGCTCCCTGGCCCCCAAAGACCACACCTGGCAGAACCTCTGAGGGTGCGACCCAGGTGGCCCCTGCGCCCGATGGCCCCACTCACCACCTGGTCCATGGTGACGTGCTTGCCGTGGTAGTCCAGCCAGATGGGCACCTCGGACGTGAAGCGGAACTCCCTGCCGGGAGGTGGGGGAGGTCCATGGGTCTCTGCGCGGGCCCCTGCCCCCAGCCCGGGCCCCACTCGCGCTCCTACCTAAAGTAGATGGGCTGCTGCTCCGTGGAGGAGCTGTGTCCTCCACCCGCGGCCTCCTGGGAGCCGGTCATCTCTGCACCCTCGGGCTCCCCTTCTTGGGAGCTGCCAGGCTGGACCTGGGTCTCAGGCCGAGCTGGGGGTTGGGGATGGGGGGCACAGATCAGGGGATCAAGGGTGAGAGGGGGGAGGGGCGGCCTGGACTCTCCTCGCCTCTCCAGCCCGGCTCTTACCCTCCATGGTTTCCACGGGGACTATGGGGTTGATGCCGGCCGCCAGGCTGGAGAAGAAGTCCCTGAGGAAGAGCAGGGCGTCCTGCCGGGAGGTGAGGGGAGCAGGTCAGGTTGAGGGGCCTGGAGGCAGGAGGGCTCCCCTCAGGGGTCTGCCCCCGCCCCATCCACTCACCTGGTCCACGTTGAGCCGCAGGGGCATGAGCGAGACGCGGAGGCAGCACTCGGGGCCGCCCAGGTTGGTGGTGGGGGCCACGTGCAGAGCTTTGATGGTGAGCTGGGGGCAGAGGGCGAGCTCTGGGCGCCGACCGGGCTCCAGGGCTCCCGTCCCCAACGCTCACCCGATGGTGCCTGGCCTGCACCCTGTTCCCCGCTGGCCCCGCGCTGCGGGCCTACCATATTGGAGTGGGCGCGCCGCGGCATGCGCTCGCTTGTGTGCAGGTACAGGAACTTGTTGATTTGGGAGGAGGCCAGCCGGTCCCGCACCTCGAGCTCCTGCACGATGAACACCTGGCGGGACAGCGGCCGCTCCTCCAGCTCCTGGCCGGGGGCCGAGGCGCCTGTGGCCGGCTCTGCGGGGTACACCTCGTGCTGGAAGCTGACCTGTGGGGTGACCGGAGGCAGGAGGTCAGTGGGCGAAACCCCCTCTGCCAGCCCCATCCCAGTCCCACCGCCAGGTGGCCACAGGGCCGAGACCTTCTTACCTGCAGGGCCTGCCCCATCCCACAGGCTCCAGCACCGCCTCGCGCCCCCGTCACCCTGAGCACCAGCCCTGGCCTGCCCTGGCCTCCACCTCTCACCAAAGCCAGTGGCTTTTCCTCCTCAAAACAGCACTCCAGTCCCTCCGCACTTGTCACCTCCCGGCTGCCACTTCCACCCCATGACCCTGTCGTCCCCCCCAGCCCCTCCCCACACTCCCAGCCCGTGGCCACAGCAGGGCCTAGCCAGGCCCGGTCCTCCACAGCCCCCCGCGCACCCACACCACGGTGCCTGTCGCGCCGGCCCCTCAACAGGTCACGGCCTTTCCCACTCACTCGGCACCCATGCCCACGCCCGGGGGTCTTGGACTCCCCCAGCACCACACCGCCGGGCGTGGGAGCAGGGGTGCGCCATGCGTCTCGGCAACCCTGGCTGCTCTCTGGATCTCACGCACGTCCAGTGTAGCTGCCAAACCCATGCTCTTCCCAGAGGGAAAACTCCAGAACTGGGGCCCCTGCCCCCTCAGTGCCTGCCCTAGTGAGAACCCAGCCCTCCGGTGGCCTGACCCCGTCTGCTCTCCCCACCCAGCGCTGGTCTCCCCGCTTTCCAGCACACCCGGACCCAGCTTGCAGGTTTTTCTCTGTGCCTTCAGCTGGAAAGCTTCCCGCTCCTTCCCAGGTTCTGGGCAAACAGGACCTTGCAGAAGACTGTGCCGCTGCAGCCCCCGCCCCCACCCCCTGCCGTGGCTGCCCGGGCGTCAGGTGCACAATCTCCGGCCCCCACGGGCTTTCTTATGATCCGGCATCTGAGCAGGCCCCGCCATGGCTGGCAGTGCTGCAGGACGGGGTGGCCGGTCCCGCCCCCCACCCCAGCCAGCCGCTGCAGCTGCGCCCCCAACTCACCTTGCTCAGCTGGATCTCCATGAGGACATGGTGCTGCCGCCCGCTGCCCCCTTGCGTTCGCCAGGAGTTCTGGGGCCGGTTGGCTCCGGAGGAGCGGGAAGGAGAGCCCTTGTGGCCCGTGAGGCCCACTCTGGCCCTGGGAAGAGGGACGGCGTGCAGGCTGACTTGGGGGGCCCGCTCCCTTGCCCCACCCTCAGAGCGGCCTGACGGCCCAGGCCAGGAGATCCCCTCTTGTGCGACGGGCGGGGACGAAAGAGGAAGAGCTGAGGCGGGAGGAGCCGCCACGGCCATGAGTGCTGTCACGGGCGCAGGCCGGGCCATCTACTGTGGGGCCACCGCACCCTCCTCACCTGTGCCCGGGGTGGGGGCCAAAGTCCCGGCCCCCATAGAGGTGCCAGACCAGGGAAACCTCCCGCAGCACCACCCGAGTGCTGGGCACTGGGAAGTGGGTGGGCGCCCGCAGCAGGTCCGTGCTGCCCAGCGGCCTGGAGAAGTGCCCGTCCTGCACGATGATGGGGCCAGGGTGCAGCTGCGTCACCACAGGCTCCCCGTCCCGGGGCTGTGGGGAGGAGACCGACTGAGCACACGGGCACCGCGTCCCCCCAGTCCAGGTGCCTTTCCCGGTCTCCCCTGTCCACACCTCCCCCCCATTTTCAACAAAGACGACCCTCATGGGCCACCGCCCCCCAGAGGCGAGTGCTCCATCCAGAGGGGCCTGAGTGCCCTTTGCTCCTGCCAGCCCTGCACCCTGGGGCAGGGTCTTGCTGGCACATGACAACCTCTGGCACGTGGGGACCAGGAGGTTGGCACCCTCACAACCCTCCCACAAGCCACCCCACTCCTGCTCCCTGCGCCCTTCACCCCCTCCCAGGACACACACCTCCCTCTTCCTCCTGCATCCCTCAGGGGGACACTCCTGGCCCCACCGCGGCCCTGTCTCCAGGTGACAGCAGCCGCAGGCCCCGCTCCCAGAGGCAGTTCTAAGAAGGGCCCACAGCCCAGCCCCCCGCCCCCAGCCCCCCAGCGCGCCCTCCACACACTGGGATGCCCAGGCCAGGCGCATCCAAGATGCAGAACTCGTCACTGTCTAGGGTGTCTCCGTCCCCCTCCTCTTCCTTTTCATCTTCCTTGGTCTCTAAGCAGGACCCCAAGTTGCCAGTGGGGGCCCCATCGGAGGATGAGGGAGGCTGGGCCCCACTCCGTTCATCTGGGAACAGGTAGACGGACACGGGCGAGGCCTGAGGGAGGGAGCCACCTGCGGGAGAGAGGCTGGGTTGGGGGATGCCAAGATGGACGCTGATGGTGCCCACTGGCCCTGCACCCCGCCCCACCTGAGGGCTGGGCCAGCTCCCGCAGGCTCCGCTCTGTGTCCAGGAGGGCATCGGCCAGGTCCCGCTGGTTGATGAGGGCCGTCTCCACGGGCGGGCAGGAGGGCAGGGAGGCAGGGCTCTCGGAGAGCTGGGCCAGGCAGGGGAGCAGCAATGAGTGACAGGAGGGGGCAGCCCCCAGGGCTCCCTGGGGCCAGGGCAGGGCGTGAGCTCCAGCAGCTAGTGCAGCCAGGCCTCACCTGTACCTTCTGGCCAGCGATCTCCGTGGGGCTGGGGGGCCGGGGTGGGGGGTGCAGGTCGCCCGCACTCAGTACGTACTGCAGCAAGTTGACCAGCAGGGCGCAGGAGTCGGCACAGCTGTGCACGTGCACCACGTTGTTGGAGCAGCGCAGCTCGAACAGTGGCTGGCTCTGCAGGGCGGGGTGCACCAGGCATCAGCCCAGCTCCACCCCTGCAGGCACAGATAGCACCAGAGCAGGCACTTCCCTGAGGTGCCCAGCCAGCCCATACCCCAAAGCAGAACTGCGCCTCTGCCCAAAGGGATGCATGTGGGTCTTCTCCCCTCCCCACAGCAGAGGTAGACCTACCATCTCCATTTTACAGATGGGGAGGGAGGTGGGGGGACCTGGGGCCAAACTTGTCTGACTCCCAGGGCCCAGCTTTTCCCTGGGGCAGCTGCCCTCTTGTGGTGGGGCGTGTGTCGAGAGGCAGCCATGGGGGTCCGGCTCCTCCAGGGAGGGAGGCCCAATAACCAAAGTCCAGAAGGCCCAGCAGGTAATGACTTGGCCCTGGCAGAGACCACGCGTGGGGAAGGTCCCCTCTACCCCTGCACCTCCTGGGCTCCGGGGGACTCGGGCAACAGGCACGCTCACCAGTTTGCCCTCAGTGCTCCCCTTCCAGGTTTTGATCACCAGCTCCAGGAGGTCAACATCCAGGACGCAGACGTAATCTGAGGCAGAAGGCAGAAGAGAAGTTCCTACAGCCTCCTCGGCCCAGAGCGGGGCCCACCACTAGGGGAGGAAGCTGGGGCTTATCGGAGGGCAGCCTGCGTGTGCATGCACACATGTGGGGTGCAAGGACTGGGAGAGGACATCTGGCTGCCCTGGATGTGGCCAGGGGCCGCGATTCCTCAGAAGGAGGCTGCCCAGCCTTGCCCTGCCCACCTCGCCGCAGATCCAGTGTCTCCGCCTCACACTTGTCCGACAGGTACAAGGCCGAGTCGTCTAGGATGAACCTGGTGGGGGACAGGGCTGAGAAGGCCCCGGAGCCAGCAAGGGGGACGCTCCCAGGCATAGGCAGAGGTGGCACCCACGGGGGCCTCAACCCCACAAAGAACTGCAGCCCCGGTTCCCCAGCTTTGGGTTCTGTGCAGCGGGGACAGGGGCCTGGCCTAGGCACCCACTCAGAGGGGGCAGCGCATTTAAGAACTTCCAGCTCCACCACCCGCTCTGGGGCTCACAGCAGCCTGGGAGGCCGGTGTCCTGTTCCCCCACAGCACTTATTCTTTTACAATAATTGCCTATTTTCCTGGCAACATAATACAAAGGTATCTTCAAATATAGCAATAAAAAAGAAACAGATGTCACATGTCATCTCGAATCCCAAGTTCCCAGCTAAGCACCACACGCATCTCCTGTCTCTCCTGTGATGACACACCGAGACGGACGCGGCCCCTCCCCTCTGGCATGGGGCGGTTGAGCCCATCCTGCTGCGGGGGCCGGGGTCCCAAGTCCGCCTCTCCTCCTGGGATTCTGCAACCTGGTGCTCAGTGGCCGCATTTACCGACTCATGTTATATTTTGGGGGCGTCTAGCTTATGCGTGTTTCCTGCTGCTCTAAGTTTCACTATGTCTTGGCCCCTCCTGTACCCTCAGGACGACCGCCAGCATGAGAGCGTCAGGCCAGGGAGCCGTTTCTGGCTCCCAGGGAGAACCCCGTAGCCCTCCAGGCAGGAGGAGCGAATCCCCTCCCCAGGGAGGGCTCATCACCCCATTAGCACATAGGTTTGAAGTGGCCCTGGGGGAGCAGCAGCTGCAGCCCAGCTGGGGGTGGGACAGACAGGGGGCGAGGGTGGGGCAGGCATCTTCATACCTGAGCAGGAAGGTGGAGGTGTCCATGATGATGTTGCTGGAGAGGGTGAAGGTCTCGGCAGTGATGAGGACACGCACGGGGAGGTAGAGTGGCCTGGGGGCACACGTGAGTTGGGGTGGGCTCCTGACCCCTGGGCCTGGCCCCCACCCCGGGCCCCTGCCCGCCCAGATACCTGTAGTCCACGGCGCAGGAAAACAGGTGCGTGTGGAGGACGGTGATGACCGTGGGGGGCAGGTAGCCCAGCACAGGGTCATCCAGCACATCTAAAAACTCCAAGAGCTTCGGGGACCAGGTGGGAGGGTGGGTGAGGATAAAGGGGCCTCTTCCATGCCCCTGCACCGCACACCATCTGCTGCCACCACACCCCTCGTCCAGGGGGCTCTGCCAGGAGGTGAGCTCTGGCCCAGCCCTTGCCCCTCACTCTGTCCCTAGCGCCCTGCCCAGACCTGCCAGCCCACACTGCCCGTTCACCTGGGCGTGCCAGCTCTGCCCCGGCAGGGCCATGCAGTGGCGCAGGGTGGCTCTGTGCAGCCGCAGTGTCACCAGGAACTCCTGGGGGGGAGGGGCACAGTCAGCACCAGGAGCCCAGGCCACTGAGACCAGGGAGGTAGTCTCCCCAGACCGCGAGGTGGGCCACAGCAGGCATGGCTGTACCTTGACATTCTTATGGGGGTCCAGGTGGATGCGCACAGCGGTGGACAGCATGTTGGAGGCCCGACCCTGGCCCTTGCGGCCCGAGGCTCCCCGCTCAATCACCCCTTCCTCTGACGGGTAGATGGTCGGGGCTAGCCGGGCTGGAGGAGCGAAGCTGGGCAGCTCCAGGCGGCTGGGCAGCAGGTAGTCATCCACGGCCGCTGGGGAGGGACCTGGTGAGCGCCCTGCCAAGCCGGCTGACCCCCCACCTCACCCAGGGGTTGGGGAACCAGGGTTCCAGAAGGTGAAAGCCCCACACTTGACCAGATCCCCAGGACCCTGAGGCAACTGGCCCCCAGCCCTCACACCTCGGTGGTAAAGTGTCGCCTTCTCTGCTTCTAGGCAGAAGTAGCCGAGTCCCGGCTGGCCACGGTACTGGGAGACGCTGAAGACGGTGCCCTGCTCCACGTCCAGCACCAGCTCCCCGTGCTCGGCCTCCAGCGGCTTCTGAGCCTCATCCTGCAGGCAGGGCATGTGGCTGGGCCTCGCCAGCTGCACTCAGCAGCCCTCTTGTCCTTGAGTGAATAGGTCTCCCGGGGCCCTGGCCTGACGAGGGTTAGCTCTAGCCTCTACCTGGACTCTACTGCAGGCCCTGGACAAACCTGCCTCTTTTGCCTGAAGGGAAGAAGCCCCTGCCCTGCCCCCAGCATCTGCTGCACCCATTCGGAGCCCTGGCCTCCCTAGCATGGTGCCAATGGCTAACATGGTGAGGGTGTAGGTGGGGTGGCGTGTGCGAGTCAGTGGGTGGCAAGTGGGTGCTCCTCGCTGGACAGGCCAGGCTCAGTGCCCCCCAGAGCCTGCTCCACACTCCCAAGGGGGCGCTGGAGTCAGGGGCTCACCTCCCTGGGGCTGCCTCACCTTGGTCTCACAGAGGGCGGTGATGCGACCCTTCACCACTGTTACCAGTGTAGAGAAGGTGCTCTGGCAGTGAGGGCTGGGGGACTCCGGGGAAGGGGGCTGGGGGGCGCCTGAGGCCCCCACTGAGAAGAAATGGGCATCCTCTTCGTCGGAGTCCGAGTCTAGGGTGAGATGAGGAGTGGAGTGAGAAGGGACCGGGAGGGCTGGCCCTGCCCAGCCCGGCCCAGCCCGGGCCCCCTCGCACCCAGCTTGAAGGCTGACTTGCACATCTTGAAGTGGTCATGCCAGAAGCCCGAGGGGCCCTGGAAGCCAGGGGGGCCGGGGGCGGGGGCGGCGGGGGGGAGCAGGTCCGCGGGCTCCCACATGAGCAGATCGTTGTTGATCCTGAGAAAGGCGGGTGAACGCGGTGTTAGGGGGGGGCCCGGCCAGCCTGCCTGCCTGCCCTGCCCACCCGCATCGCCACCTGTTGTAGATGCTTTCGTAGACCTCCTTGCTGGGCAGGAAGATGTGGGCGCTGGGCAGGACCACCTCCAGGCTGCAGCGGGACAGCGCCAGGGCCCGGCTCTGGAAGCTCCTCATCTCCTCAGGGTCCCCAGGAATCACCATCTAGACAGGCGGGGGCGGCATCTGTGACGTGGGGGCCTGTCTGTCCCTGGCAGGGGCCTGGTCTGCACCCTGACCTCCCATCAGTCTCTCGTTCCCTCGTCTTGGTTGGGATGTGGGATGGTGCCTCACACCCCATGCCGACCGGATGCCCACCCCACTCAGGGCGTCTTGGAGGTTAACCTGTGTTTTTTGGGTGGGGGGAGCAATGTTTATTCAAGTGTTCATGTTTTTTTCATAAGCTGCACGTGAGCCCTACTTCTTGAACTCTCCAAATGTCGTCAGCAATCTGATAGGTGAGGCATGGGAATTCCCCTCAAAACTAAACTTTTTTAATGCTACAAAAAGGCCATAAAAATCATTCATTCCATATCTCCACTTTCCAGGGGAGAAAGCACGGAGGGCGCTCCAGCGACTCCCTGCCGGCCACCCGGGCCTGTTCTGTTCTGATGCGCGATCTCACCTTGGGCGTCTTGAGCGTTGCTTCTAAACTTTTTTCCAATCATTCAACCCTAACTTTATTTGCTTTTTATTTGAGAATCTTCAAAACTTTTTAAACTCTAATTTTTCCTACTTTCCCTTACACATGCTGTAACCCTTTCTCTCAGCCTCACGAAGCTCCACTTCCAGCGTTAGTTTTGATAATGTTTTGTTCAACAGTCCACTAGGTAAACATCCAACGTGTGTCTGTCGTTCCGACTTGCTTTACTGCACACCAGTCTCTGCTTCCATCTGCTGCACACGCAGCCTTTCATCTTTCTTCCAGGCTGCACAGCAGGTGTGGACATAACTCGTCGCATGGACAGACCGCATCTCGATTTGAGCCTCGATCAGCAGGCGCTTGGGTGGTCCCATGTCCTGGCTATTGTGAATGATGCCACAGCAAGCACTGTGGAGGCTACAGGTCACCTTCACTCTCTAGGTGACGAAATTCATCCATAGGTAGTGCTCCAAGGAGAGGTGACTCCCCAAGATGCCACCAATGGGCAGAGCCTGGATTCGAGCCCAGGCTGACGCTCTGAACTGCCTCACTCAACCCTCATCACCTTCAGAGAAGAGGCTCCAGGGCCCACACATACACTGCCAAGCCAGGCCTGAATGGGTTGGGGTCTTGATCTTCTTAACTGGGGATCCACACTCCCCAGGGCTGCCCTCATCAGTGCCCTCGCCCCCAAGCTTCACAAGCCAGGGTACTTCTAACACCCCACTGACCTGAGATGAAGGAAGGGACGCACCAGCGGGCGCCCCAGGTGGTCCTGGCCCCCTGGCCCACAGCCACGAGGGGCCTCCATGAGCAACCCCAGGGCCTCAGTCTCACCTCCTCAGTCTCGTACATGGTCCTCTTGGAGGAGAAGGGTGAGGGCTCAGGCTCCCGTAGTTCGCACGGACTCTCGGCTGACAGCTCCAGCTCCTCCCTCTTCTCGGAGCTCACCTCCCACTGTGCGCTGCTGAGCTGGGGGTTCAGGGTCACCACTACCCTGTCAGGGCACGGGCCCGTCACTGGACTGCTCGGGTCCCGGGTCCCACTCCCCATGCTGGCCACCGCCCTTGGCAGCAAAGCCCTCTACTCCTGCCAGTCCCTACTGCAACCCTGACTGACTGAGGCAGGAAGTATTTCCGCCCGGGGCTCCTGGGATCCAGGGCTTTGGAGACACGCAGGCAGGGCACAGGAGGCTTCTCTCCATCCTCATAGGTACCTGCAGCACATGGTGGGAGGCATTGTCACTGCCACCTCTCCCCGCTTCTTCCCCAGTGTCAGGTGGGATCAGGGTGAAGGCCTGGAGCCTCCCCCCGCCGTGGTGACCCCGGTGGTCAGTCAAGAGACCTGCACCCTCCCCCTCACACCCACGTCCTGGGACAGAGTCCACTGCCTGGTACCCACGGGAGCCCAGGGCAGGACAGCTGGAGTCCCACACAACTGGAGGCCCCCACAGTGACCCAGCTCCTTCCAGAGCCCCAGGTGTACCTCTCCCAGAGGCCGAAGGCCCCGCACCAGGTGTAGGTCCCCAGAGGCTCTTACCATGTAGGTCGGAGCAGGTAAGTTCCAGGCGGGTGGGGGTCGGGGGACCAGGCCCGCTGCTCAGCTCAGACCGGAACTGGGGCTCACTCAGCTCCAGCCGCAGCTGCTCAGCCCGTACAGCCCGGCCCCCCCAGGGGTCCCGCTCAGGTCGTAGGTCAGCAATGGGGAAGTGCAGCCGCAGTGTGGCCCTGGGTGCCGAGAGCCGCACCACTGTCTGCTGCTCAGCAGCTGGTGGGGGCTCTGTCTGCAGGAGTGGGGGCAGTCAGAATTGTCTCCAGGGCCCCCACCACTGTGGTCAAGACCCAGAGGACCCAGGCCCCCTCCCAGCAGCAAACAGCCCTGACGGGGCATCTCACCATCAGGCCAGCAGGCGGCTCGGGAGGGGGGATGGTGGCCTGGCGCAGCAGGGCGGCGAGCCGGTCCAGGGCCCCCAGCTCCACGTCCGCCTGGAAGTCGGCCAGGTCCAGGGCCAGCTCTGAGTGGCAATGGCAGGTAGCTGTGCGCCGGGGCCGGCTCTGAGGGTGAGGACGTTCAGGTCAGGGAGGGCTGTGGGGTGGGCGAGGGCAGGATGGGAAGGAACTGCCTTGAGCAAAAGAGAACACAGGGCCCCACCCAGTGTGTGGGGGTGGTTGGGAGGCAGCAGAGCTGGGGCAGGGGATCCGAGAGAGGGCGGGGAGACTCACCACCCTGCCGAGACAGATGACCATGCTTGTTTAATAAAACCCACCCCAAATTTGCCACTCTCAACTCTGGAGGCTAGCCAGCGATTGTGCCAATGAGCCAGGCCGAGGGAACAGCAGGGGAGGGGCATGTCCAGGGCCCAGAGGTGTTCAAGAAGCCCAGATGGGGAGGTGCTCGCTGCTGGAGCACATGGGAGTGGGTGGAGGAAGCAGGAGCACCAGCCAAGCCCTACACGCAGGGCCCCGCCGCTTTGCATCACCTTGGGCACACGGCGCAGTGTCTGTGTGTGGCGCAGGTGGGCGCAGGGCCGAGCTGAGGCCTGGGAGCCCATGCCACTGGGGAAGTTCAGGATCTGGATGAGACGCAGGAGATGAAAGGGTCAGGACCGGCCCCTGTGCCCACCCACAGCCCTCCCACACAGCCCCACCGCCATCACCTCCGTGTACTCAGGCTCCGAAGCGCCCCGGGGCCACAGACATTCCAGCACCTCCAGCTGCCCACAGTGCACGTCTGTGCTGGTGGTGCGCCGGCCCCGGCCTGTCCGCAGCTCCCACGACAGCTGCACAGCTGCACCCGTGAGCCTGCAAGGAAGAAGCTAGGCATCAGAGCAGGGCTGGGGGTGCTGCGAGTCTCTCCTCGGGCCCCGGCCTTGGGCTTGTACCGGACGTGGCTACAGGGACAGGCCCTCTGGAAGCGCGGTCGGAGATGGCAGAAGTCACGGGAGCCGAAGGGCCCATCCTTGGTGGCATCAAACTCAGCAAAAAAGTGAGTGGTGAGGTCGGGTGGTCCAGAAGACGGGGCAGATGTCTGAATCAAGGTCAGTGTCACGCCCCCCAAGGTCATCTTCAGCAGCGAATCAGGGCGCAGGGTGTCCGGGAGGGGCGTGGGGGCCGTCTTGCCTGAGGGGACAGAGGCTTCACCAGGGGCTCCCCAGAGCTCTCAAGAAACCCTGGGAAAAACATGCAGCTCAGCTAGGTCAGATCTCCTTGCACCCCTTTGATGGCAGGGGAGATACTCACCGAGATGGCATGCTTGGCCCCCACCAATGACAGTCCCCTCAGGACCCCAGCCTCCCGAGTGTCCCTGGAGAACCAGGTCTCCAACCGAGGACCTCCAGGCCTCCTTAGTGCTTGTGAGCTCACAGCAGCCCTAAGGCCTCCCCCGCCCGGAGCACTCACCAATGGGGTGGCCCTGGGCAGAGAGCCGGCGGGTGGCCGTGTCGCTGTGCAGGGAGGACCCCAGGTCCACGTCGCACAGGGAGAGCTCGGAGACAGCTGAAGTCACGCTGCTCGTGAGGCCCGCCATGGAGAAGAAGAGGTCTGTGGGCCACGGGAGGACATCAGGGACTGCCGGCTGGGCATTGACTCCTGCACCCACTCGCTGCCCTGCACCCACCAGTGCTGTCCAGGTTGACAGAGGGGTTGAGAAGGGGGTCTGGGCTGAGGGGCTCGGCCACGGCCCCCGCCTGCAGCTGCTGGTTCAGGTCCTGCTCTATCAGCCACAGGTCTTCAGCACCTAGTGGGCGGCTCTTGTTCAGCTTGTCGGCCAGGCCCTCGGGATCTACAGGGAAGGGCACTCTTTTATGTTAGTCCCTTCTGCCCGGACCTGTCCCAACCCCCCAACCCCCCCACACCCAGGGGTTGACCAGAGGCCTCACCTGCAAGGCTCATGGCACTGAGCAGTTCCTGAAGCTGCTGGAGTTGCCGCGGGGTCAGGAGCAGGTGCAGGGAGCCCAGCTGCCCAGCCACCTCCAGCTAGGGAAGGAGGGAGCAGCCATGGAGGACACCTGCCCACTAGCTGCTGCGCCACCAGCTCTGTCAACAACTAGCTGGGTGACCCTGGTCGCATCTAAACCTCTCTGAGTCTCAGTTTCTGAGATGGGATGTTGCTTCTCTTCCCCAAGGGACTAGGGACCCACCTTAGGGCCTGGGAAGGCCTCGTTTTGTTTCAGTTTTACGGTCAGTTCCATATACCCCGAACAGCTGCCAATCTGCAAGGGGGGCTCTGGGTGTTCTTTCTGGGCATCCTGAGCAGGGAGGGGGTTGGGAAAATGAGATCAGAGACAGTCAAAAGGCTAGACGGAGAGTTCAGAGAGAACAGGGATCAGAAAGAGAAAGAGACTGTGGGAGTCAGGCAGGCCCACCTGTGGGGAGAGCTCCTCGAAGTGCAGGCGGACGCCCGCCAGCTGTAGCAGCTTGTGCAGGAAGGCGGGGGGCTGGTGCACATCCACTGGGGGCGCCTGGCTTGGGTCCCGCACTGCCTCGTCACAGTACTCCAATCTGGGGGCGGTGGAGGGTCAGCTCTGGACCTGCCTCTCCCACGGCCTGGAGCCCTGCTCTCTCTCCAGCAAGGGTTCTCAGGCGGTAGGGAGGCTGGTCTGCCCGCTGCCCCCTTGTAGCCAGGCCACCTTGGCCCTCCTTAGCCACCTTGGCTCGGCCCAGGCCTTGCTCCCCAGACTCCACAATCCTTGGGGTCCCTGCCACTGAAGGCCTGGACCACCCAGCCCCTGAAGCCCACTCCAGGCCCACAAAACAGCCCACCTTCCTCCATATCTACCTCTGGCCCACCCAAATGTGCGGGACTACTCCCCAGGCTGGGGTGAGAAGGCAGCATGAGGGCCAGTCGGCCCCCCTCGCTCCTCTTCCTCACACCAGCCCACCCCTTGGGCCTGCCCCTACCTCTGCACGTGGACTTCCATGGCCACACCTCGCTCTCCATCCCCCGGCGAGTGTTCCACCCTCACGACAGTATCCAGGAAGGTCACCTTGATTCTTCGCAGCACTGAGTGGGGGAAGTGTCTCAGGCCAGGTGGAGCAGCCACGGGCAAGCTAAGTTTCCCCAGAGTTGGGGCAGTGGGGTGGCCAGGCAGCTATCTGGGCCCCAGTCAGTGGGCCATGGAGGAACAGGGGGCAGGATAGCCAGGAGGGCCTGCTCACCAGTCTCGATGGTCTGAGCGAACATCTCCAGGCCCTCCAGGGGCTGCGGTGGCTCAGAGGGTTCTGGCAGCCCATCTCGCAGGCATTCCTGCGCCAGCTGCAGGCTGGTGGTCATGCATGATGCCCAGGTCTGCGAGTCAGCAGTCCCGGGCCCTGTGGGTAGGAAGAGGGTCTCAGGGAAGTTCCCGGGTGCCCATGCACGCCACTTGTCCCCTTACCCCCAAGCCCACGGCAGCCGTGCCTGTCCTCACCTGGGCCTCGGCGGGGCTGCAGGGTGAGTTGGAGGCCGGACACCATCACGGTGCAGTGGTCGGTGAGCAGAGCGGCCCAGGGCACGGCCACCTCGATGGACCCCACAAAGCCTTCTACCAGCTCCAGTGGTGACTCCATGGCCTCCAGCAACTCGTTCACAGACTAGAGGCAGAGAGTGGACAGAGCGGCTCAGGGAAAGCCCCCATCCAGCTGGCTTCCTGCCTGTTGCACCCCATGAGCAGTCTCACCTGGTGGCTCCCCTTAAGGGAGCACTCTCACGCTCCCACTGCCTCTACCTGCTGCTTACAAGGCTCTACCTTTGCTCCTGCCAACTCCCACACCGGCCACCCTATCACCACACCATCCACCTGCCCAATCTTTCAAGCCATAGGGAAGGGGAGTGGAAGGAAGGGGAGGAAGTGGTGCGCTCCAGGCACGAGCAAAGGCCTGGCAGACAGCAGTCGCACCCCACATTTATATGGGGTAAGCAAGGAGTCTCAGGAGAGTGTAAATGAGAGGCAGGCAGGGTCCAACCTGAGTTGGAGGGTTCCCCGACTCTAGCCATTTGATATAGCTGTACCTCTCAGAGGCTCAAGGCTGAGCCCCTAGTCACCAAGTGGGTGTTGCTCTGCTGACAGCCTGGGAGTTCCCTGAGGGCAAGAGCCCACCCACCTATACCGTCTCCATAAGACTCCAGGTGCCCAAGGACCTCAGAAACACTGAACAAACACAGGGCAGAACTAGAAGGCCCACAGAGAACAAGTCCAAATCTCTCACCCAGAGATGCATGGAGGGGGAAACTGAGGCCTAGAGACTAGAGATCTAGTCACCTAGGGTCCTGTGGGGACTGAGACTGGACCAGGCCTGCCTCATCCTATCCCAGATCCCGGGCACTCGGCTTCTTCTGGAGTTTTCAAAGTAGGGGCTTCAGACCTAGCAGTTGGGAGGGGGACTGGCTATTGAGCAAGCACCAGATTTCACCAGGAACCTCACCAGGAGCCAATTCAACCCCCAAAGGGAGGGGAGGGGAGGGCAGGGTAGGATGGGAGCTTGTCTGGAGCTGGAAGGAGAAGACTGCAGCTGCAAGCCCGGGTCCCTTCTTTCAGGCCGGCCCAAAAGGCTCAGGTCAGGGATCACAGACGGCCTCCTACACTGGGCTTCGCAGGCCAGAGGTACAGAGAGGTGTCCCAACTTTGGGCCCAAAAGTGCTCAGGAAAGCCTGGCCTGCCCCCGAAAGCCAGCCTTTCCAAGCGGGACTCACAGAGGCCAGGCAGAAAACCCCAAGCCCCAGGCCCTTGCCCACCCCAGCTGTTCCAGGCTGGAGGCGGGTCCCTGGGCCAGTTCTGGGCTGGGGCCTCTAATTGGTGGCTCCTTTGGACCTTCCCAGGTCAGCTGAGCCGTGAGTCACCGCCCCTTACCAGCCCCCAGCCTCAGGCCCTGACCCAGACCTCACTCCAGAGCCTCCCCAGCAAGCGCCCGGCCTCCTCCCTGCTGGGGGCCAAACCTCTCCACCTTAGTGCGAGGAGGCCTCCCTCCAAGCTGAGTGTTGACCCCCAAGCCCCTCCCCAGACACCCGCTGGGCCCGTCCCACTCTCCCCAAAGCAGGAAGTAGGCAGAGGCTGCAGCCGCACGAGGTGTTGATCAACACGGCGCTGACGCGGTTGTTGACATCCACATCCGGAGGCGAACCCCACCCGCCGCTGGGGATCCCGGGGTCAGCAGGTCAGGGCAGCATTCCCGCCGGGGCCCCTGGCCGGGCTCGAGCCCCGCCAGTCTTCCCGGAGCTGCTGCACGCCCTGCACTGGCACCGCGCGGGCTGGGTCCGACCCGGTCCCGACCCCAGCCTCCCAGTTGCTCGGTGCCCTCCTCACCCTCTTCCCGGCCCCTCTGGCACCGAGCAGGACCTCAACGCAGGCCCCAAACTAATGCGCTTACTCCGGCGCTCTCCCGACCAGACATCGGGTTCTCCTCCCGCGGAGGCAGGGCCCCTTCCCGCGCAGCTTCTGGCTCCGGAGGCGGGCAGTCCGGGTCGCGCCGACGCCGGGAGCGCCTCGGCGCCCCCGGCCTCTCCACGCCGGGTGCCAGGTCCCCCAGCCGGACCCCTTCTCCGGGGCTCGCCTCCGCCCCGCCCCGTCCCGCCCGTCCCGTCCCGTCCCGTCCCGTCCCGTCCCGTCCCAGGCCTGGCTGCTCACCCATATCTCCAGGTGGATGTCGCGCAGGGCAACGCTGCCCTTGTACAGATCGAGACTGAGCTGCTCCAGGCTGAGGTGCTCCTGGAAGAAGTGACCCAAGTAGTGGTGCAGCAAGTACCGGCAGACCCGCTCTTTCACACAGTTCGACCATGGCCACAGCCATCGTGACATCTCGGAGACCGCCGGGCCCGGGCCGCCTCCGCTCGCCGCCCGCCGGCGATCCCGTCCGGCTGCGCTGTTCACTAGAGCCCCCGGCTTGCCCCGCCGCTTCTCACAGCGCCAGGCCGCGCCCCCGGACGCCCAGCCACGCCCCCACGCGCCCTGCCATTGGCCGCTGCGAAGGGCGAGGCCTGCTGATTGGCCGCAGGGGGCGGAGCCTTCAGGCGCGAAAAAGGGTCTGGGCGCTCTGCATCACATAGTGCGCCCCGTGTTGATTTACGCCTGCGTATAAATTCTGTGTGGGAGGACCTTTCACCTCCCTGCTACTGGCTCTAGCGCGGCTGCAGCAGGCGGTGTCAACCCGGCAAAGGAGTGCGCATGTGCCGACTCGTCCTACTACTTGAAGGAGCTGGGGAGGATTTAAAGAAACAGCGTCCCATCAAACTTCTTGGCAAGCTGCCCACGCGGGAGCCTCTGCAGAAAGCAAGTGAATGGATCAGCATTTGCAGTTACTAACCGCCTTGCTTCTTTGATCTCATGCCACACTCTTAACGCTCTAAGCTGGAGATTACTGCCACCAACGACAGATAAGAAAACAGATTTAGATTAAAAATAATAAAAGAGGGCCTCCCCTGGTGGCGCAGCGGTTGAGCGCTGGGCTGCGAAGCTGTGCGCAGCCTCTGCAGCGCCGGTTCGATCCCGGCCGCCCGGGAGGGGCCCACATGGCGTGCAGACCTCTCCTGCTGCGCCCGCTGCTCCCCTCAGCAGTGTATTTGGTCAGTCTGCCTGCTCTGCTCCCCGCTCTGGCTCTGGTGAATTCTCTCATCCTCCTACGCTTCTGACTGTACCCAGTGCTTGTATAAATAAATAAATAAGTAAATCTTTAAAAATAATAATAAAAGAAAACAGAGTACAAAGGTCGCTGTGAGTCCATCTCCTAGGAGGCCTTTTTTCCCATCCTCCCCTGGAAGGCTCAACAGGCAGGGAAAGGACTCCCTGGGCTCCTCACTTGGTTACATCACTGGAATAATAATGATTTTTCATATCACTAATTATTTTTTTTTAAAGATTTATTTATTTATTTATACAAGCACTGGGTACAGTCAAGCACGGGAGGCTGAGAGAATCCACCAGAGCCAGAGCGGGGAGCAGAGCAGGCAGAAGAACCAAAGTACACTGCTGAGGGGAGCAGCGGGCGGCAGGAGAGGTCTGCGCGCCATGTGGGACCCTCCTCCGGTGGCCGGGGAGCAGCCGGGGATCGAACCGGCGCTGCAGAGGCTGTGGGCAGCTTCTCAACCCAGCGCTCAACCGCTGCGCCACCGGGGAGGCCCTCGTATCACTAATTCTGAAATCAATAATGAATTATAACATCCTCAGTCCAGGATCTCTTGTATTTGTATAGTAAGAATGGCTCTCATTTTTTTAATAGTTGGGAAGAAAATAAAAAGAAGAGTAAGATTTCACGACCCATGAAAATCCTAGGAAATCACATTTCAGTGCGCACCAATGAAGTTCTCTGCTTGGAGCTTTAGGGCTGCTTTGGCCACAGCAGCAGAGCTGCCCTTGAGAGAGGGCTGCAAGGCTTAAAACAGTCAGCCCGTTGTAGAGCAACCCCGATACAAAACGGGGTGCCTGACTGTGGGTCCTCACCCGCGCGCTTAAAAGGACTTATCAATGCTCTACTGCAGGCACGCGCGAAAGGTTAATAAAGGTTTATTTACAAGGGAAGGGGAAAGGAGGAAATGTACAGCTCAGGGAGAAAAGTGGGAGACAAAGTTTTAAATGAGTCCTACCTGATCCGCCAATCAGGAATCCCAAAATGGCACCCTGAGAGGTGGCCTCAAGCCAGGAGACGTGAGGCAGGGAGGCGAGCAGTGATCGCGAGCCCCCCAAGGCCCACGTGTTTGGTTTTTATACCCAACCTGGCTGCTTAACTCCACCCTCAGGTCCCATCCACCCTCCCTTTGGTGGTGATGGGATTTGTCTTTCCCAATGTCCTGATGGCTTTAGTCTGGAGTGGGGGTGGGGTCCACAAAGCCTGTATGGGATTAGCTCAGGACATCCTTTCCCCCTAACAGGCCCTTGCAGAAAAAGTTGTCAAGCCCCGCCTAATAAGCTTCATCAAGGGATAACCACAGCTAGGGATAACCCTATTTTAGCCATACTAGGGGAGATCCGCTGGATTGCAAAGGAAAGCAGAAAGTCAGCCTGAAACAAAGGCAACTTCCCTGGCCCGAGGGGCAAGGCTCTGGCGTCCAAGCAGCTGTGTCTACTCCTCTGAGCCTGTTTTAACTCTGGATCCTGGGGTTGGGTCTGTAGGTGGCAGAGCTCTTTACTGGAATACAGGAACATCCCCCAAGAGAATATGGGAAACTTTTGGACAGCCCCCATTCCAGGAGGCAAGCTAATCTGTACACCCCTCAGAAAACGCTTATGGAGGGTCTCCCTGGTGGTGAAAGGGGTTTAGCACAACACTATGAAGCTGTCCACAGCCTCTGCAGCACGAGTTCAATTCCCTGGCTGGACAGGGAGCTACCCACATGGTGCAGCAGACCTCTCCTATCTTGCCCAATGCTCCCCTCAGCAGTGGATTTCAGTCAGTCTGCCTGTTCTGCTCCCCACTCTGTCTCTTGTGAATCCTCTCACACACACCCCCCCCACATCTCTGGCCTGTACCCCAGTTCTTGTATGCATAAATAAATAAATCCTAAAAAAAGAAAAAGAAAATGCTTACAGAGTGAATCAAGAGATCTATCTGCTTGTGCCCCACGACAGGCCACCGGCAGCTTTGTGTTCACCAAGTCATTATTAAATTAATGATAATAAAAGTAACAGATGCTATGAATTGAGTCCTGGGCTCTGGTTTGTCACTGTATATGCATCAAGTGTTTATCTGCTCTTTGCCATGTGCTCGTAAGGAAGGCACTATTAATATCCGTATTTATGGGAGAGGAAGACTGAGCCTGTGGCTAGGTGCCTGCAGAGCAAGTAGATGAACAAGCATTCCTTCTCCCAAAGGCAGTGGGCAGAGAAAAGCATGTTCTAAACTCTTGAGAAAGGTGTCCCTTTGCCCAGTCTAGGAGGAGGTCATTCCCCTGCAGTGGGAACACAAGCACAAAGGTTGGGAACACAGGACCATTCCAATACTCAGGTCCCCCCTCTGGGGTTATTGCTTCCCCCCAGGGAGGCTGTTCTCTGTCTCTCACTGTAACATGACTGGGAGCCACTGTATGTTAACACTGTGTGTTAAGAGTTGGCATCTCTGAGTCATTCCTGAGCCCGTCCCCTGTGTCTGCACCACAGCAAAAGAACAGAGGATTCAGAGGGGCACAAAGGCCCTTCCCACTGCCCTTCCCACTGCTGTCCCCAGACAATGTACCTTGACCTCCACAGAAAGCTAAATTCAGGGGCTCCCTGGTGGTGCAAGGGGTTAAGCGCCACACTATGAAGTAATATGCAGCTTCTGCAGCACAAGTTCAATCCCCGGCTGGGCAGGGAGCAACCCACATGGCGCAGCACACCTCTCCTGTCTTGCCCGCTGCTCCCCTCAGCAGTGTATTTCGTCAGTCTGCCTGTTCTGTTCCCCACTCTGTCTCTGGTGAATCCTCTCACGCTCCCGCGCATCTGGCCTGTCCCCTGGTTCTTGTATAAATAAATAAATCTTAAAAAAAAAAAAAAAAAAAGCGGGCCTCCCTGGTGGCACAGCAGTTGAACGCTGGGTTGCGAAGATGCCCGCAGCCTCTGCAGCGCCGGTTCAATCCCCGGCTGCTCCCCGGCCACCAGAGGAGGGTACCGCATGGCGTGCAGACCTCTCCGCCCGCTGCTCTCCTCAGCAGTGTACTTCGGTCCTTCCACCTGCTCTGCTCCCCGCTCTGGCTCTGGTGAATTCTCTTACCCTCCCACGCTTCTGACCTTACCCAGTGCTTGTATAAATAAATTTAAAGTAAATAAATAAATAAATAATCTTTAAAAAAAAAAAAAAAGGCAAGCTAAATTCAAAGACATACACATCCTAGGTGGCCACCAGGCAAGAGAATAACAAATATTGGCAGGGTAAAGCGGTGGTCTTCTTTTGGCGGGGAAGGTGGTATTGAGGACCTCTTAGATGTATTTCTGGGGTGGAATTCTAGGCCCTATTTTAGGTCCGGCAACCTACATCCATGGTCACTGCAGTGGCAAGCTTTTACTGAACATCTGGGTCTTGGAAAACTGTGGGGACCTAGGGAAGACTGGGACCAGGGTTCCTCCCCAGAGAGAAAAAGGGAAGGGACAGGCTTTTCCTAGGGGTGGGCTCCTTGGAACCTTCCCGCAAGATTAGATGGGAACTCAGCCAATGTGCAGCAGGTCTGGGGTGGGTTTGTAGCGGAGATTCTCCTTCTGGAGTGTCCCATCCCAAAACCCTTCTGGGGATCTCTTCAGTGGAATCAGGGTGATGTGGAGGAATCATGGAAGGCAGCCTGGGGCAATGGCATTTGACTTGGTCCTGAGGGTCTAGATTTTGCATTTTGTTCCATGAAATTTGCCATCTAGACTATTCTTAAAGGGCAAATTCAGTAGCATTAAGTATGTTAACATTCTTATGCCCCCATGTCCAGAAATGTTTAATCTTGCAAAACCAAAACTCTATGGTCATTAACCAGCCATACCTACGTGGGTGAATTTCCATAGTATGTGAAAATATCTCAACAAACATGATTTTAAAAAGAAAAGAATTTTCAAGACTGCAACAGCAGGTGACAGTCTGTTTTGAGACCGAGTTCAAATGCCACTTGGTACAGAACTTGTCATGCTTGTCCTCCGCCCTTCAGTTCTCAACTGAGCACTATCTTTGTACAAAGCACCGACTCCACAGCCAGCTTGGCCTTGGGGCCCATGGAACCCAGGGCGCTATCCTGGAAGCCTGGGATGGGGACCCTCCTAAGTGGGAGATGGGGGACTGCCCCCTGGTCCCAGCTTTTTGGGATAGGTGCTGTGATGTTGGGCAAAGCAGTTCTCTCTGTGCCTCGGGGGCCTCACCTGGCTGTATAAAGCTCTCTGGGCCAGCCCTCCCGAGCTTGCTCTTTTCAGGGATGTGGGAGAGATTTCACTTTCTGAGCCTGGGAGGTGAGCAACGAGAATATGGATGTTCCTTGGACAGAGGAAGGTGTCAAGGGCCAGATGGACAAAGCCTGATGAAGATTTCTGAGCAAGAGGGCTGCTGGCCAGCTCTCAGTGGTATAGATTCTGGGGTCCCAGCCTGGCTACACCAGGGCTTTTGCTTTGTGTTGCTCCAGCAGGTGGGCTGTACTCCCTCTGCAGCGGGGAAGATGGCCAGGTGGGCCCACTGAAGCACTGATTTCAAAGCCCAAAGTAGGCCCCAGCCTCAACTCCCTCCCTGACCTCATTGTCTGGTCTCAGTACTCACTGCTGCTGCTCACATGGGCCGGTTGTTCATCCAGCCGAAACTTCTGGGTGGAGGAATATAGGGCTTAGGGGGATAAAGAGTGCTGGGGTCTAGGGTCCTAGGATGGAGGCCCAGGGAGGGTCTTAGGAAGGGGACCCAGGAATGTGGGAGGGAACTTTTACCAAACTCTTGGCATCCCTCTGGTGCCTTGGATTCCCTGCAACAGCACAGTTTTGAACAAGAGACCCCACTAGCACATCTTAGGGCCAAGGGGCTGGGAGGCCAGCTTGCCCGGGGTGGGGTGGCAATGCCAGGGAGCACCTCCTGCACTCACGCTCTGCCACTCCAAGGCTGGCCCTTTAAAGCCCAGACCATGATGTCACCATAGACAGCAAAGGACGGGAGGGGGACTGCAGGCCTGAGAACGGACTACATTTCCCAGTGGCCTTTGGGGCGCCACACCCCTCCCAGCAGGCCCTGGGTCACCGCAGACTATTAACCAGTGGGGAGCCGGTTTCCACCGGGTTCTGAACGTCTGGCCGTTCTGGGGTGAGGGAGGGCGGGGCCTCCTGGGGGTCGGTGCCAGGGGCACGGATGGAGCAGGCCAAGTGTGGGGGCTTGGCGTAGGGCTGGTCCTCTTTCCCGCCCGTGCCCTGGCATCCCCGCAGCTCCCTGGGGCCGCCCGCGGTGCCCCCTCTCCCGGCGCGGCCTCCCTCCCGACCCTGGCGCCCCCCGCCCCGCGGCCCCCGCTCCCCGCCCCCCGCCCCCGCCGCCGGCCCCGGCCCCGGCCCCGGCCCCCCCGGGGCAGCTTCCGGCCCGGGCGCCCGCAGGTGGCCCCTCCGGCGGGCGGCCCCCTTTAAGCGCCGCGGGAACTACATCTCCCAGCCGCCCCGGGAGCGCCTGACGCAGCCCCCGCCCCCCAGCCCGCGGGGAGGTGCGGGCGGGCGGGGGGAGGTGACTTGATGTCATCCTGAGCAGCTGGGCGGCGGGTGCCGGTGCGCGCGGAGCCGGGGCGCCCGGGGCGCCGCGCCGCGTCGGGTCGGGGCCACGACTTGGGCAGAGGTCCGCGCGCCGCCGGGGCCGGCCGAGAGCCCGCCGGGACCCCGCGCCTGACCCGGGGCCGAGCGGGGGGCATGCCCGGCCCCCCCACCCGGAGCCCGAGCGAGAACCCAGGAGCGCCGCCGCCCAGCGCCAGCGCCCCCGGCGAACCGGCTGCGCGGGAGCCCTGAGCAGCTGCCCCCCTCCCCGCGGGCAGCCTCTGGGGGTCGGGGTCCAAAGTCTGGGCATCTGAGAAGTGAGTGTCCTCTGCTCCTGGGGACAGAAAAGGTTGGGGGGGGCGAGTGGAGGAGCTGAGTTGGGGGAGGGTGCAGGGTCCTCTGAAGGGGGAGCCTGGGGATAGGGCCCCATATAGCGGGAAGACTCTCCGGTCAGTGGAGCAGAAAGGGACTCTATTCTGTCAGAGGCCGGGATGAGAGTGGGGACCCCCATTCTAGGTGGGTGCTGTTGTGAGGGGCATAGGCCTGTTCAGAGAGGTGGTTTGGGAGCCTGGCAGCAGGGAGGGTCGTGTCTGTTGTGGGAGGGGGCTGCACCGCTCTTGGGGGCCTGGGCAAGGCAGGAGGAAAGAAGCCCGCCCCTGCCTTTCCTGGAAGAAGTGACAGGCGCTCTCTCCCCTCTCTTTCTTGCTGATCTCTCTGCTCTGACTGGTTTTCAAAAGAACCAGGGCAGGAACCCTACTGGACTCTTTCGGAACCCCGGAACGACCTGAGACCTGAGCTACCTCCTCTCTGCTCTGCCTGCCCCCCCAGGACTGGGCAGTTGCCAGAGGCCCTGGGGGGGCTCAGGACTGTGGTTGTGCCCCCCCCACCTCTCAGGATGGGCCCAAGTTAGTTAACCCATCCTCACTCAGTGTCCTCCAGGCCCAGAGGGGGCCCCAGGGGCTCTGAAGGCTTGACCTGCCACCTGGCCACCATGGAGACGAAGCTGCCCCCTGCGAGCACCCCCACCAGCCCCTCATCCCCGGGGCTGTCGCCTGTGCCCCCACCTGACAAGGTGGACGGCTTCTCCCGCCGCTCCCTCCGCAGGGCGCGGCCCCGGCGGTCCCACAGCTCCTCTCAGTTTCGCTATCAGAGCAACCAGCAAGAGCTCACTCCGCTGCCCCTGCTGAAAGGTGAGCCTGCGGCTGCCAGGGCACTTGGGTCCTAGTGGGCAGCCGGGGAGGCAGTGAGAGGCAGCTGGCAGCTGCCCTCACAGGGAGTTCAGATGGCCGGGAACTGACCCCCACCCTCCAGCCCTCTCTGCTGACGCATGGCCTGACTGGCTTGTCATCCTTGGAGGTGGGGCATCTGGAGCTGGCGCCATCCTGGGGGGCAGACGGGGGCCAAGGGTGGGGCCCAAGCCTGAGTTCCAGGAGGCCACTGGCAGCCTAGCTGCAGCCGGGGTCCTGGAGCAGGTGCTCAGCGTGGCTCCCCGTGGTCATCACGTAGCCTCACACCCCACCTCTGGTGGAACCTGAGGGTACCCAAGAGATGCTGTCCCCTCAACCCCCTCCCCATGGCACTTAGAACAGAGTGCCACCTGTGAGGGTGGCTGTCCGGGCACCTGCGGAGAGCCCCGCCGGTGGGGTCTGCCACGCTCTGCAGCCAGGCGTGGTGCTGGCCTCTGGTCAGGAGGAAGAGGCTCCTTTCCTGCGCAGGGCAGGAGGAGGGACGGGAGGGGGCTGCTCCCTGCAAGGCGAGAGGGGCGGTGCAAGAGTCGGGAGGGTCCACTCTGCCAGGGCTCATCCCCTGCTTCCCCCAGATGTGCCAGCTTCGGAGCTGCACGAGCTGCTGAGCCGGAAGCTGGCCCAGTGCGGGGTTATGTTTGACTTCCTGGACTGTGTGGCGGACCTGAAGGGGAAAGAGGTGAAGCGGGCAGCGCTCAACGAGCTGGTGGAGTGTGTGGGGAGCACCCGGGGGGTGCTCATCGAGCCTGTCTATCCTGACATCATCCGCATGGTGAGCACCTGCCTCCCAGCTTCTGGGGGAGGACTTGGGGAGCCTGGGAGCCCTGCTGACCGGCCTGCAGGTCCCAGCACAGAGTCAGCTCCGTGTTCCTTGGCTGGGCCCCGAGGTCCACATCTTCCCTCTCTGGCAAGCCCGCTGCCCAGGCCGCCCGGGCAGCACGGGCCACTCAGTGCCTTCTGGGCCTGCTCACCCCGCACTGTCCTTGTGTTCCCTGGGACTGGGGTGCACCTCCACACCCCTTACCTCAGGCCTGGCTCAGGCGCTGCCTCTTCTAGGATGCCTGTCTCAGTGCCCAAGTGGGCATGGCCCCTAGACCCACGGCTTCCCGTCTTGTTTTCCCCATGGGACTGAACCCGACAGAGGACAGGGTGGTGTGGCCCACGCTGGGTCCCCAGTCCCTGCTCCAGGGCCTCTGTGACAGTTGCCCAGGAGAGCTCTGCTGGGGCACAGGCCTGAGGCCTGTTAGAACTTTGGCTCAGGGACCCCCTGCTTCTGCCTTTGAGGCGCTTCTTGATTCAAGCCCCTGGCACCGCCCCTCAGATCTCAGTGAATATCTTCCGGACCCTCCCGCCCAGCGACAGCCCTGAATTTGACCCAGAAGAGGATGAGCCCAACCTCGAGCCTTCCTGGCCACACCTGCAGGTGCAAGGGCTGTGAGCAGGGGTGTGTGTTGGGGGGAGTCTTCCAGGGCCATCGGGCAGGGGGCAGGGGGAGGCCGTGACTGAACTCACCTTCTTGTCTGTCCCTGTCTCAGCTGGTCTATGAGTTTTTCCTGCGTTTCCTGGAGAGCCCTGACTTCCAGCCCTCTGTGGCCAAGAGATATGTGGATCAAAAGTTTGTCCTGATGGTGAAGTGGGGGAGCCCAGGCCAGGGCGGAGGCAGGGGCAGGAGCTCTCTGAGGGGAGAAGGGTTGGGACCCAAGCAACCTGGGCTCGGCCTCTTACTTGATCCCTGACCTCTGTCCCTGTCCACAGCTCCTGGAGCTCTTCGATAGCGAGGACCCCCGGGAACGGGAATACCTCAAGACCATCCTGCACCGGGTCTACGGCAAGTTCCTGGGGCTCCGGGCCTACATCCGCAAGCAGTGCAGCCACATCTTCCTCCGGTGGGTGCCCCATCTCCTGCCGGGACCTGGGGAGACAGGAAGAGACGGGCAGAGGCCAGGCTGGGGGGCCCTGCGAAGTCTGGCTCACTGAGTTCTTTCTGGGGAATATATTCCATAGGGGTGACTACACAAAGCGCGTGAGGTCAGCAGGACGAAGTACTTGTCTTCATTTCACAGATGAGGAAATAGAGGCTGAGGGACAAGTGTCTTTCAGGGACGAGGTCAGGCAGCGGGGTGCCTGGGCTCTAAGGCCTCACCTTTCTCTTTTTTGCAAGTGTGCTCTCACCCCTGGGCACCAGGGGCCGGAGACTGGCTCTGGAGGTTGATGGGCTGTGTCTGAGTGGTTCAAATGTTTGGGTGAAACTTGGGCAAATCACTTAAGTGCTCCTCAGTTTCTCAAAACTGGGAGTGGGAGTCGTGCGGACCTAGAGACCATGGGAAACATCAGCTGTTACTGCCATCAACTGCAAAATAGGTGCGCGATCCCTCCCCTCTGGAGCGGGGGCCCCTGAGCACCCCGCTTAGGAGCTTTGGGCAAGTTTCATTGAACCACAGAGGCTCGATTGATTTCTTCCTCTGTATAATGGAGCAAAGACCCACTGGGCAGGGCAGCTTTGAGAACTACCTGGCACGGAGTAGATGCCCTAGTGTTGGCTGGCATGACTGGCACGGAGCGTGAAGGACAGGAGGGTGAGGATCTGGGGGAGGAGAGGAGCGGGGAGTATCTCGTGGAAGAGGCTTGAGCTGGGGCTCAGGGTGTGTCCGAGGATCCACAGGGGCCTGGTTTGAGCTACTGCGAAGCGGCCCCTGCGGCCCCGGGGTTGGCAGAGAGTTGGATTAGGGTGCAGGGTGGGGAGGTGGGCAGGATGGCCAGGAGGGGTCTCTGAGGCCCCCGCGTCCCCCCTTCTCTGCCTCTCGCAGCTTCATCTATGAGCTGGAGCACTTCAACGGCGTGGCGGAGCTGCTGGAGATCTTGGGAAGGTGATGCTGGGCCTCGGTCTGCAGCGGCAGGGCAGCACGGCAGGGGAGGGGGGGCTTGGGGGGGTGGGGGGGCATTGGGGGAGGGACCCTGGCCGGCTCATCTGAGCACCACCCCCCTCTCTCCTGCCCCCTGCTCAGCATCATCAACGGCTTTGCGCTGCCCCTGAAGACAGAGCACAAGCAGTTCCTGGTGCGGGTGCTGATCCCCCTGCACTCCGTCAAGTCTCTCTCAGTCTTTCACGCCCAGGTGAGGCCCAGCCCCGGCAGTCAGGACATCGCCTGCGCCTGCAGGGTCAGCCTGCCCCCCTGGGCTCCAGCCACAAAGTCACACTAACCCCATCCCGTCTGCTTTAGAAAATCCCACTGCCCCTTGAGAGCTGAGCTCAGACATCCGCTCTGCCCCTGCCCAGGCTTAAACTCTCCTGCCGCCCGAGGCTGGTGATACAAAGCTCCCTATGGAGCCTTTTGTAAGACACACGGGTCTAGGGTCTAGCTTGCTGGCAGCCCGTCCCGTCTGACCTGTCCGCTTTCCCTGCCGCCCCTGCAGCTGGCGTACTGCGTGGTGCAGTTCCTTGAGAAGGACGCCACCCTGACGGAGCACGTGAGTCCCGCTGGGGGGAGGCCGCCCCCTCCCCTACGGGTCTGACTGCTTTCTGCCTTGCCTCCCACAGGTGATCCGGGGGCTGCTCAAATACTGGCCCAAAACCTGCACCCAGAAGGAGGTATGGGGACGGGCTTTGCCTCCCCGGGGAGGCAGGAGGGCACAGCTGCCAGGCTGGGAGGTGTGCTGGGGGAGATGGGAGTTGCTGCCCGTGTTCCTACCCCCAGGTGATGTTTCTGGGGGAGATGGAAGAGATTCTTGATGTCATCGAGCCCTCCCAATTCGTGAAGATCCAGGAGCCCCTGTTCAAGCAGGTGGCTCGATGTGTGTCCAGCCCCCACTTCCAGGTATGGGGGTTTGGGTGGGGGCCACTGTGGACAGGGAGACTGTGCTGGCTGACCTAAAGCATCCTGTAGTTTCTCCTCCAGACCCTAGCGGGTCTGAAAGGGGGAGACCCTGGCCTTAGGTCAGGGGGCCTGCGGTCAAGCCTCGGCCCTGCTTCCCACTGGCCCAGGGGCCCTGGGCAGCTGTGTCACCACTCAGGTCTGGTTAGCTTCCTCGTCTGTGACATGGGCCACAGCGAGCTCAGGGCGGTGACCAGGGCCGAGGAGCTGGTAGCACAGACCACAGTGGGCATCTGCCAAACGCCAGGGGCACGGTCGTCGTTGTGATTCCCCTTTGGGCTTTAGCCTCCACTCAATGCCACCTCAGGGCCAGCCCGCAGCCCGGCAGCCTGTTCTGCGAGCCTGTGCAGCCTTTCTGTTGGGGTGTCAGAGCCTCCCCCAGCGGCCCTCACCCCGTGAGTCTGCCTAATACTGTCCATGGAGGCAGATGGTATTACTCCCAGTGGACAGATGAGAAAACCGGCTGGAGGCCCACGGCCTCCCTCCAGGTGGTGCGGCCAGTGTGAGGGGGAGCCGGGATTCACCCCTGAGCACCCGGCTCCAAATCCAGTGCTTTTCTCCTCCCGTGGCTTCGCTGGGGTCAGACCAGCCTGAGGCGGGGAATGTGGCGGGCTTGGGGACGGCGCCAGGGGACGTCAGGGAAGCCTCGCGCCGCTCACTGCCCCTTCACCGCCCCAGGTTGCAGAGCGGGCTCTGTATTTCTGGAACAACGAGTATATCCTGAGCCTCATTGAGGACAACTGCCACACTGTGCTGCCTGCTGTGTTTGGGACCCTCTACCAGGTCTCCAAGGAGCACTGGAATCAGTGAGTGCCCCGGCCTTACCCCAGCCCTGGTCTAGACCTGGGGTTACTCAGACCTGAGGGCGGTGAAAGGGCTGCAGCAAGCCCCCGGGGCCGGGGGAGGCTGAGGGTGGAGAGGCTCAAGTTGCTCTTACCCCCACCCCTCCCTCGCCGCCAAGAACCATCGTGTCTCTGATCTACAACGTGCTCAAGACCTTCATGGAGATGAACGGGAAGCTGTTCGACGAGCTCACGGCCTCCTATAAGCTGGAAAAGCAGCAGTGAGTGCTGCGGCCGGGCGTGCAGGGAGGGGAGCAACCAGCCTGAGCCCACAGCCTGAAGCGCCCAGGCGGAGGAGGAAGTCTGCCCTTGGGTGCTGCCCCTGCGGCCACCGCTCCCTCCTCCGCCCTGTCCCGAGGGCTATTCTATTCTCCTCTCTGGAGCTTCCTTTCCAGGGGCTTCCAGCCCTTCGGTGGGCCCCGGTGCAGGCTGGTCTCGTGCCATGCCCGCGTGCCAGGAGGGCTCTCCTGCCTCTCCCTAGGCCCGAGGTTCCTTAACTCCGTTCTCTGGCTGCCCCGCTGCAGGTGGGGGGTAGGGGGGGGGGGCTGGACTGTGGGTGGGTCCGAGGGCAGGCCAGTCGGGAGCTGCCCCACCCCCTCTCTCCAGGGAGCAGCAGAAGGCCCAGGAGAGACAGGAGCTGTGGCAGGGCCTGGAGGAGCTGCGGCTGCGCCGGTTACAGGGGACCCAGGGGCCCAAGGAGGCCCCCGTCCAACGGCTTACACCCCAGGTGGCTGCCAGTGGGGGTCAGAGCTAGGGACCCCCCAAAAGGGAGGCGCTAACCCGGAACTGTCAGTCCCTCCCTCCCCTCTCCCGCCCAGGGGCCTTGCCAGGGTGGGTCGCAGGGCTCCCTGCCTGGCCAGCGCGGGCGGCTTGCGCGGGGGGAGAGGAGAGGAGCTGGAGGTCCTGGCAACCGAACTCGCAGGCCCTCGCGGCAGGACTTGAACAGGGCCAGCCGGGCCAGGAAGCTGCCAGCGGGGGTCTGTCCCGTCCTGCAGGGCTGGGCTCCAGACTGCAGGCGGTTCCCACCCCTGCTCCCGGCCTTAGGGTGAGGGGACTCTGCCCCTTGCCCGCCCCACCTCGTGCCAGCGCGAGGTCCTTCCTCACCCCACCATGGGATCCATGGTCTATTTATTCTCCCCAGCTCACCCCAACACAGATGCTGGCCTGGGCCTGGGGCACCCTCCTTCCCTCCTCTCTGGCCTTCCTTGTCCCCTTTTTATTTATTGGGCAGGGGGAGGGGTGAGGGCACAGGCAGAAGAGATTCCCCGTGTCCCGGGCAAGGGGGGGTCGCAGTACCCATGGTCTAGCCCCCTTCCCCTGGCTGGGGGCAGACTTAATAAACTGAGAAACTCCAGAACCGCTTGCTTTATTTAGGGGGGGGACAGGGGGACGTGACCGAGGAGGCTGGCTAGGCGGTCGGGCAGAGGCAGGGACTCCTCTCTTCCCAGGTGACCCTCAAATCTCAGCGGGTCAGACCTGGCGGATCCGGATCCCTCACTTAAGGAGCCCTGCAGCGAGTCCCCTGCAGGGCTGGAACTCAGGGTTGGACCCCCAGACCGCACTGATGTTGGGGGAGAGGGGTTAGTAGCGCGCGAGGCGACACATGTCACACTGGCAGGCCCTGGCTGTGAAGATTTCCAGCTCCTCCTTCCGGTCCCCCCCGCACTGCAGCCGCACCTTCACCTGTGGGAGAGGGGGGTCTGTGATCCAGCAGTCTCCTCCGTCTCCCCAACCTGAGCCCAGCCGCCCTGAGCGGGGCCTCCTCACCTTCTTCAAGCCGCTGATGGTACAGCACTGAGAGGCGGAGGTGACGTTGTGCCGATAGCCACTGGCCACCAGCACAGAGTAGCGGGACGGGAAGGCGCTGGACTCGCAGTGGCCCACACAGGCCTGTGCCATGTGGGAGCCCTGGCAGGTGCCCTGGCGGTCACTTCGCACCGTCACGTTGAAGGCTGGAAGGAGACAGGCGGGGCTAGATGGGGCTCCCCCAGCTCCCGGCACCTGAGTGTGGGCCCCTGGGGGTGCTGCCTGCTCCTCGTCGGGGCACCAGTGCTCGCTCCCACCCGGCTCTCTGCTCCCGGGGTTACTCACGGCGCAGGTGGCAGCCGGGGAAGGCCACCCGTCGACCCCAGCCTCCCGTGAGCACCAGGACCAGCAGACAGAGGAGCAGGGTGTGGGAGGACGCCATGGGCATCTGCAACAGTGGGCAGATGGATGTCTCTGGATGGGCACACGCCTCCAGGTGAAAGGCAGGGCTGGGTGGTCTTTTGGACTGGGGCGAGCCTGCCTGTGAATGGGGCTCTTTGCCCTGTATCTGCCTTGGGTGCTGTGTGTGTGCTGAGGGTCTCTGGCTGGTGTTGAGGGGGCGGCTGTCTCGCTGTGACTGGTGTCAGCCCCCCCCAGGTGACTGTTCCCTGGATGTTCCCCACCGCCTGGAGCACACACATCTGCCGCCCTCTGCCCTCCGCTGCCCCGTCTTGGCCTGCAGAACCCTCACCTGAGTCCCAGGCCCTCCCTGAGCCCCTCCAGCCTCAGCCAGCTCACCACTTCCAAGACCCAGGAACTAAGTGGCTTTCCAGTCTCCTGTGCCTCCTGCTGGTCTCCAGCTGTGCCGACGCTCCGGGTTTTTATTTGCCCGCATGCTGGGGCCACGCCCTCTCGGAGATCAGCTTTCAGGCCTGCCTCCCAGCCCGGGCCTCCAAGCAATCCCACCTGGGACATCTGCTCTTCTGAGGTGTGTTCCTCGGAGAGGCTTCTGCTGCTTTCTGCTTCCCTTCTGCCCACAGCTGAGGATGTGGAGTGGAGGAAGCCCCAAGCTGCTGGAGGCTGAGGCCTGTGTGCTGTGGGGGAGGGGCTGGAGACTCGGCTGAGCTGTGGCCGCCTGGGCTCTTGCTGTGTGACCTTAAGCAGGCTCAGGGCCTCACCACCTCTGCCTTACAACTCCCAAACTCAGCCCTGCCTGCCTCTGTCAACCGCAGCAGCAGACAGGGATGGGGGAACAGATTCTACCGACAAGGGGAAGGACACCGGTGGGGTCTCTGACATGTGCCAGTGGCAGAGCCAGGGGAGATGGGGGAGGGTCCAAGTCCGCGTCAGAGCTTCACTTGCTGTCAGTGGATGACTTCTCCTCAGGGGCCAGAGTGGAGGGTTCTCCCAGCGACTCCTGCAAAGAGCCTGCAGCTGCCAACCCCAAGACATCTGAACCTTTAGTCCAGCTCTGGCTCCAGTTTTACAGATGAGGCAATTAAGGCTCAGAGCAGGGAGGCTGCTACAGCCCACACCACAGACTGACAGCTGGGCCGACTTGGAACCACACCTGCTGCCACTCACAGTGCTGCGCTGGGGGCAAGGACGCGGAAACACTCCTGGGCAGCCGCAGCCACTGGGGCGGGCAGGTGGAGCTCCAGAGCCTGTGGTGCCCTGCCCCCATCCCCAAGCACCCACTCCCCTAGGGTCGCAGCCTCCCAGACCTCAGAAAGGCCAGCCAACTGCTGACACTGCCAGTGCTGGGAGGCACTTGAGAGCTCATCATAATCCTACCCCTCGTTTTCCAGATGAGAAAACAAGAACCAGAGAGGAAAGTGACTTTGCCAAGGCGTCCCCATAAGCTGGTCAGAGTCAGTGAGACCCAGATCCCCAGATCTCGGAGCTGTGCCTTTCGGCAGCTTTGTAAAGCGGGCTGCACGTGGGACAGCAGGTGAGGCTGTATGTGACACTTGTCTCCAGTCCTTCCTCCCACAGCTCCCGGCCCCTGCACGGCCCACCTCTTCCTCTCCCCACCAAGGTCAATGCGGTGAAACAAGGGGACTCCAAGGGACCTCAGTGGTCCAGCCCCGACTCTCCACTCCTCATGAAGCCTCCGGCCTCTGAGAGATAATCAGCTGTTTAAAGATTGGGGGTGACACGGTCGCTCCCCTCAGTGACCCATCTAATACTGGACATCACAGCACTTAAGCCTTTGGTCTGAGCTAAAACAAGTCTCCCTGGGTTGCTCAGCCAAGTGTAATCTGTCTCCGCCGTCAGCCTTTGAGTTACATGAAGACAGAACTCGGGTGCTCTGGTCTTCTCTAGGGCCCTAACCTGGATGGGCTTCCAAGTAATGCACCAAACTGATCTGCATTACTCTCGGGCCAGAGGGCCAGATAGGCAGGAAGTGCTTATGACAGAGAAGCGGCACTGTAGGGGCCAGCGGGCAAACTAGGGGAGATGCTGTTTTGATGGGCAGCAGGGCTCAGGAGAGCGAAACCTGCAGGACCCCAGCAGGGGAGCTGAAGGCTTGAGGTCAGGTACAGACCCCAGCCACGCAAACACTAACCAGGCGGGCCCAGGGAGGTTTCAGGCATTGCTTTTCTGAACCTCGAGGAAGGAATCTGCTCTTTCGTTCTCTCCAGTGCACTAAATGCAGCCACACGCTTCATAAACAGTTTATTGTCTTTAGCATCCTAAGTGCTGGAGATGATGGCCCTAAATGGACCTTCAAGGAGACTACATTCTTAGAGTATTTTAGAAAGTTCCATTCTTTTCTCAAGTTTTAAATGGGTTAAATCCCATTTCATTGTAAAGGGGCAAAAGACGGGACGAAGTCACAGGAAGACTCAGGGACTTTGGGGCCCTCATTTCCCGAGACCGGAACGCCGTGAGCAGGGAGGACCCCCTGCAGCAGACGGCTGCGGCTGGGAGGCCCGCTGGCTGCTCTTCCTGAAGAAATCCCAGAACGGGAATAAAGAGCTGCAGGAAGAAGAGCAGAGCGGGTTGAGACTCCAGAGGCCCCTGCCTTCTCCAGGCCCCATCAGTGCCCCATTAGTTGGGGCATTTCTGCTCTGGGGAACCACTGGATGGAAATTCAGGTCTGGAAGAGCATCAGGAAAGGCATGGAATCAGAGTATACTCAGGTGGGGGAAACGAAGGAGAACTGCAAGGAAGGCTGAGCCTCTAGATAAATAAGGGCTTTACTAACTGACCTCTACAAAAAGGACTGTGAAGACACAGCCCAGATTCAGAGTGCGGAATGGGGACATTTTGGTAAGCAACCATCTAAATGACCAAGACCATTACAAACAGTCTCTGTCCAAGCAGCACTTACCCAGCCCGCTGCTGGGCACAGTGGGGTGGAGTGTGCTGTGTGAAAATGAACAAGACACAATCTTTGTTAAGTGCACACTCAAGGCCTGCCCTGGTACCCAACTCATGTCCTTCATCTACCTGGACAAAACAGATGTGATGCAAGGAGGTGCTCTCCTCTCTCATCTAACTTCCTGGAGGTGCTCCACGAGGTAGGCTCTGACCTAGGTCCCCTGAGTCCGCTTGATGGCAGGAGAGGAGTCTGTCCTACCTTAGAAACCCGAAGAAGCCACGGGTTCCCTGCTCTGTGGGTCCTCTAGGCGGAGGTGCGTTGTTCTGCTGCAGTGGTGGGGTGATCTGCCCTGCAAGGCTGTGCCCCCACTTTGAATCTGTCAGGAAAACAGGAAGGAAATGGCGTCATTCTGTAGGCCACTTTCATGTGAGCAGAAGGCGGGACACGCAGCATGAGCCCAGGTTTGGAGGTGAATGTTGGCCCTGCCCTTCCCGATTTCATCTCCACTTAGTAAGATGCTATTTGAGGGCCTCCCCGGTGGCGCAGCGGTTGAGCACTGGGTTGCGAAGCTGCCCGCAGCCTCTGCGGCGCCGGTTTGATCCCCAGCTGCTCCCCGGCCACCGGAGGAGGGTCCCACATGGTGCGCAGACCTCTCCTGCCGCCCGCTGCTCCCCTCAGCAGTGTACTTCGCTCCTTCTGCCTGCTCTGCTCCCTGCTCTGGCTCTGGTGAATTCCCTCACCCTCCCACACTTCTGACTGTACCCAGTGCTTGTATAAATAAATTAAATAAATAAATAAAAATTAAAAAAAAATAAATCTTTAAAAAAAAAAAAAGATGCTATTTGACCTTTGAATATTTCAAAGTCAGGCCCTTGAGATTTTTACACTGCTCCAGTCCTAGCCACTTGCCACAGCTGGTGTTTCTTCCCATGGAACAACTTGAAGCACGCACTCGCTCACGTCCCTGTGTCCGTGATAACTGCAGTCCACACTGAGCTCTCGTGCTGGTAAAAGATCAGCCTGGGTGGTCCCATCCTTGCTGGGTGCCCCGGAGGAGAGAAGATAGCTTCCCAGGGATCACCCCAACAAGACAGAAAAGTGAAACACATCCCTCCCAACTCTCTGCAAAATGTATCACGCCCCCTGGAAATGTTTTCAAAGAGTGGGAACATCAGTTTCCCATCAGCAGCACAGGAAGGACACACACTGCTGCTGGTGGGCAGGCGGCGGGCGGGCGGGGGGATTCTGTTACTCAAGACAGCCCCCAGCCCTGATGATGGCCAGCAGGCACCTCTGTGGGAGTGAGTAACATCACGCGCTGGGCAGGCCCAGACTCACTTCTGTGCTGCTCTATTCTCCAGACGAATATTACAGAAAATGAGTAGCAATTTGCCAAAACTTACCCTGTTCCTGGACATCAGTGTCATCAAACGCTGGGGTCTCCTGCCATTCCTGCTGGGTTTTCCTGTCCCTGCTCTGATAAAAAGAGGACCAAGGAAAGTCCTAAACTTTCCCCCTTTTGAGCGTGAGCATCTGAATGCTGCTTGCTGGTGAACTGACTTCACATGGTGCTGGGGCCTGGCTCCTGACTGCCCAAGCAGCTTCCAGATGTCCTTCCTGTTCCCATCTCAGCTTCCTCACTACTGTCGCTCTCAACCGTAAGAGCTGAGAACCAACCCACCTGGGTTTAACTTACCATCCCTGTTACCAGGTACCAACTACTGCCAAGGACAGAATATTGTTTCAGAAGTCAGGAGGAATCTTAACTTTACCTTGGAAAAATGTACAATCTATGTGGTAAGACTGACATATAAACTTCGTTTGTTACGATAATGTGATGAGATTACCCCAGGAACCTGCTGGGGAGGACCGACAGAGCAGGGAAGGGATCGATATTTGAACAGGGCACTGATGGATGATGGGGTGGGGAGGGGGTCAGGGAGAGCAGGGCCTTCCAGACAGGGACACAGTGTACAGAGGCACTGTGCCATTCACCATGAACATGATCAGCATGGCTAGAGCCAGGGCAGCAGAATGCAACTCTGGTGCAGTACCAAACCATCTCGTTACTCCTCCCTGTGTTGTGGCATTATAGAACTTGTTTAAAGGGGCATCCCACCACCTGGCTCTAAGCCCCTTCATTTCCAGTGAGTGCCCTGATAGAAACACGGCCCATATATTTTTTTGGGGAACTCTGCCAAGTGGCACTCCAGGCCCTGGGTAGAACACATAGAGCATGCTGGGGAGCTCCTTGAGTCACTTTGCTGGTGGAGAATTCCATAGCAAGGGGTCACAGACTGTCAAGGCGGGCCTGGGAGGCAGAGGATGGCACGCCCGGAGCAAGTGGAATGTAGTCTCCATCCTAAGCATCAGCTGGTGTATCTGAGATGAGTTTTTCTACAACCCCCTCCAGCCCCACACCCCAAAGGCAGCCACCTAGTCATATTCCTGTAAAAGTGAAAGGGGACTCTGGGGAGGAAGGAGGCCAGCTCTTCCTCCTCCTCACAGAATGGAGATGGAATTTGGAAGGCGCAGCCTTGAATTCTAGCTTGAAGGGATGATTTTGTGCATTATTGAAACTATGGTTTGGGACTGTGCTGGCCCAAATGAAAGCATCTACCAAGATGAGCAGTGGGGAGCAGGAGGGCAAAGGCCTCTGAACCAGGGGAGACACCCCTTACAAGACAGTTCAGCTGTTGTGCTCTCCTGAAATCTTCAGAGGGGGTTTCTCAGGCAAATGTGAGAGGAAAAATGCTACAGCTTGAAACAAGCCCGAGGGTGCCTTCTGGGACACCCAACGCTACACGATACTCCGAAAACCTGACGCAAGGCTGTCCTCTGAAGGTTCTGGGCCAGATCTGCTTACAAGTATGGTTCAAGCAGAGGTGGTGGAAAAAAGGTATGTATCAGTCTGCTCAATTCTGGACCATTCCACTTCCGGACCTGCTCTCCCCATGTTTTATCCTTCCAAAGTTTGGGTCTCAGGTCTGGGAGCTGAAATAACAAAGGGAATGGGTCTGTCCTTCCTGCCCATTCTCGCCAAATACCTCTTGTGAAACAGACCTCATTCATGCACGTGTTGTATTTTTCTATGCTTTCTCTGCACAGGCTCCCAATGTGTTCAGACGTGCACAATCCACACCATGATCCTGCACACTAACATCTCCCAAAGGGGAGAGAAAATATTAGGCATTGGACCATAGGAGCAAATTCAGTTTATTCAGCTCAAGTGACTTACGCTGAGAGTCACTGTGATCATTTCAATTTAGGAGAAATCCTCTCTGGGAACAGGGTCTACAGTGAAGACTGTCTTTGGGCTTTGAATCAAAATCAATAAACATGCTCTCTTTTTTTTTCACTCAGAGTTTTTTTCTAAACCCAGTATCAGGTGGAAAAGGTAATTATGTTGAATAAGAAGCTGTGGGTACTGTTCTTGAGGGAGATGATGTGTCAAACTAAGAATAGGAAGGTACGAAGGGTAGAGAGTGAGGGAAATGTTCCTTTAATAGCAATTATCTTGGTTGTATAAAGCGTCTTTGTTCTCTAGAGTTTCATGTACTCCTCTTGTACTTTCTCAATTCTGTGTTCCTTTCCAAAGATACGATAAAACAGGGCAACCATCTGCCTAAAATCGCTCCAAGGGCCAGTTGGCCATGGCACAGTGAAAACTCTCCTGCCCACAGAGGCAGAGGTCTGAGGCCCTGGGTTCACTCTTCCCACAACTAAACTACAAGTCCCTCGAAAGAAGTGACTGGGTTTCAGGCAGGCTTGGGTGCCCCCCAGCACCTAACCACAATACCTTGCAGACAGGGGACAGCATTATTCTTTAAAAATGAACATCACTTCTCTTTTCTACTTAAAAATATTTCAGGTCCTTCCCACGATCTTGGAAGGTGACTGCAACCTTCCATGGTCCAGGCTGGGGTGTGCAGTGATGTTTCTCTGCACGGTGCTCTCTGAAGCTGCCCCGGCTTGCAGTCACTGGAAGCAACATGCTCTCCCTCCTGGCTTCAGCTCTGAGCTACTCAGAGTGACTCTGGGAAGGCGTCCCTCTGGATGCCTACTTGGCCCGGGTAAGGTTCTTCTTTGTGGCTCCTGTGCACCCTGTGCTACATTTAGTCCTGACTGAAGCACATCCATCATAATTGGCTAGCTTTACACTTGGCACTTTTAGGAGAGGGTATGCTGTCCCTAGTCTCTGGCACATACTGGATACCCAGTAAGAGTTCGTTGAGAGAACGCACGTGTAAATACTGGAAAAGCGACGGTGTTATGAGTCCCAGGAAGGTGGGGGAGGTGAGTTGTGAGTGTCTGGATACTTAACATCAGAGCTACTTTGGAGAGCTAGAAGAAAAAGACTTGATTAACCATAATTTTTAAAAGGGAGGAAAAGAAAAAAGGTACCATTTTAGAGACCACTATGGAAAAGCAGCCCAGAAATGGAGGAGTAGCAGAATGTGAATCTCTAAAGGGGGAATAAGTCCCACAAGTGACATCCAATACTCTGGGGCCACCTCAGGCCACTGTTGATGAAGTGCTCTCTCACCAGCGCTCTTAGCTGACACTTGCCTTGTTCCTCTGTAAAAACTAGATGTTCCCATACCCAGACCCTAGTGTAGCTGAAGGCAAAAAGATTTCTAAAGAGAAAATTCTATGCTGGATCTTACCTCGGTGAAAGACTTTTTTTAAAAAAATCTCAACTGCAGAGAATGAGAAGCAGCTTTTTAAGCTGAGAAGTAAGGACCTTTTAATAAAAGGATTCACTGATGTGTGTATTGTGCAGCCACTTTCAGGACAGGCTGTGGCAAGGGTGGAACTGTTGGGTACTGTTCTGCCCACCAGGAAACACGAGGAAGAGGTCAGTTCAGTCTGCACTTAGACGTGCTCATAGCAGGGATCTGGCCCAGACTGCCATTCGGGTGCTTACCCTCCTGGTTTCCATGAGGGGCTTCTTTTTCCTGGGGCCTTGGCTGGAAGTCCCCATCTTGATGCTGAGATGGGGGTAAAAAACCCAGAATATGTTACTGGCAGCGGCAACATCACCACATTCAAGCAAATGTGGCCCAAATGAATATTTCAGCAGGTTAGCTATTTTTACACCACGCCTGGCCTGCAGAATAAATTGTGTGGCCAATTCTTTTTGGGTGCTGCTTTAATTCACAGTAGGATCCCAATTTGAGATATCTAGGGAGCTGGGGTTGAGAAAGTGTGATTGACAGCAGACATCAGATTTGAAATAACTGTGCATCAAAACCCAAGGGAGGGGAGGAGGTGAGGCCTCACCTCCATGGAACTCAGTTGAATGAAACTGCACAAAGCTTCACATCTCTCCCCTCACCTGCCACAGGAAGGTGTCTTCTGACTCTTACTGCTGTCTACGTTTGGAGGGTGTAGGGGTCTGCTCCCTCGTGGTCCACCCTCACTGCTCCGTGTAAATCCTGGGGCCCACACAGCCTTGAGAAAGAGCGGCTGCTTGCTGTGAAAGCCCTTTGGGCTAGGAGCAAACCACACCTTGGATTCTTCCACCAGCCTCTCTGGGTCTTAATAGGAATGACTGAATGGTACTACTCACTCATCCTGTCCCTCACAGAGAGTCAAAAGAAAATAGTAGCCTGCACATAGAGATGTGCTCAGTATTCTCTCAAACATCACAGCACCTTCGCTGATAATTTACACAAATCCTCTCACAGGCACTTGTATTTCAGCTGGATTACCTCTTATGGTGGAGTTCCAAAAGCATACTGCTCACAGGGTAAAAGAGAATTACATCTTATTTGTCATCACTCTTTTGAGGGTTTCTCTAAGTTCTAGTAAAATATTCGGGCACTTTCTAAGTCTTGTCCCTCCTGTTATCTGATAATACTGCCTCAGTAAGTACTCATTTAAAATGTGTTGGACTCAGTTGTAGAGATCTGATTGCATTTCCTCTCAGACTTCATCTTGATGAATAGAAAAATCCTGACTTGCTGAGGAAGGGACTGCAATTACATTGCAAATATCAACTTGCTTCCTTCCCTCGGCCCCCCTGGGATAGGCAAGGGCCAATGAAGCCTCAAGAGAAAAAGTAACTCCCACGAGGACACAGCTGGCAAGGCGTGGGATGCAGGACTTAGCCATTCTACCACCACTGACCTGTCCAGCCCCGACACGCTGGGGGAGCGGGGCACCTCCATGCATTTCCACTTCCTCACCATGGCTCCTGCCGCTTTCCTGTCAGCAAGGACCTTCAGAGTGGAAACAGGCTCCTGTGACTCCTCTTTTTCCAGAGTTGCTCACAGTTCATGAGGGCAGTGAGCTCCCAATTTGTAACTGCCAAAAGCAACTTTTAACACCAGCTTTGCAAGTGAGGATAGACATTCTGTAGGAGCAAGTCTGAGAAGTCTAGCCAAAGGGAAAAATATGGTGTACAATTCTGATTGGACCTGGGAAGCAACTAAGGGACAAAGGAGGAAGAGACAAAAGCAGGACTCACACAACAGGCAGGAGTTAAGACAAATTTCATTTTGTGCAGAAAAGGCAAACTTACCAATCCAGGAGGACTGTCATTGATTGGTTTTCCTACAATGGGAAATTTGAACATTATAATGGATCAAAACTCTGGGCCTCCCAGGTGGTGCAGCGGGTTGAGCACTGCACTGTGAAGCTGTCCACAGCCTTCGCAGCGTGGGTTCGGTTCCTGGCCAGCCAGGGAGAAACCCACATGGTGCAGCAGACCTCTCCTGTCTCACCCACTGCTCCCCTCAGCAGTGTGTTTCGTCAGTCTGCCTGTTCTGTTCCCCGCTCTGTCTCTGGTGAGTCCTCTCACCCTCCCGCGCCTCTGGCCTGTACCCCGGTTCTTGTATACATAAATAAATAAATCTTAAAAAAATAAAATAAAAATTGGGCAATGTCTTCAAGATGATACTAAAGTGAAAGTCACTGAACACTGAACACTCTAAATGGAAGTATCTGTGTAACAGGAATCTTTCATTGAGTGATTATGTGTAAGCCAGACTTTGTACTGCCCATCTACCAATATTTTATCATTTTAACAACTCAACAAAATACGTACCATTATATTCTTCATTTCACTAAGTTGCACAGAAAGACTAAGTCATTTACTATGGCCACATTTACCATGGCAAAGCCACTGGGATTTGGCCCAGGCAGTCCAGCTCCGAGCACGTGTTCCTGGCCTCTTACTATGCAGTCTTGGGGCCCAGTCTGGCTAAACTCATTGCCACGTTCAGCTTGTACTTCTAACACGGACACCCACAATTCCCCTTTTTCTTTTCCATCACCCACATTTCCATTATCCTACTTACCAGGGGACAGATTTTCATGAAACCATTTCAGCTCCACATAGAGAGTGAAAACAAATGGATAAGGGACCAAGGCCATGTCCCCGTGTTTGAATTTCAGGTGGGACACTCTCTCCCATTTGCTTTTATCTGGGGAAAGGTGCTAAGGAGTCAGGAAAGTCAGCAGGAATTGCTGAGCACTGTTTTAGAGGTAAATCTTGTTCCCTTCCCTGATTTACCCTCCACACTGCCAATGAGTTTGCTACTTCCACTTGAATCTACCTCCACTTGAATCTCATTTCTGTCTAGGAAAGAAAGGATACAGGGAAATACAATGAAGTGTTCTGTAGCAAATGGTTGCAGATTTTCCAAGTTTCCCAAGACCACACGAATAGAATCCTGAAAAAAATGTTTAAAATTACTTTTAACACTTTGTAGGCTCAGCCAACCTTTCCCTTTACACGCGTCACTGTTCTTCACACGCTCCATAGTCTATTACAGTCCATCACCTTGTTCTTCCCGGAACGTGCCTTCTGCTATTCCATTTCTGTGCCTTTGTATAACCTGTTCCTTCTGCCTGAAATGTCCTTTCCACTTTAATGTAGGTCCAAAACCTACCTGTCCTTTAAGGACAGTTCAAAACTCATCTCCAGAGTCTCCCCTGATCCCCCCACTTATAATTAACTGTTCATCTCAAACTCCACAGTAGTGAGCTTGGGGTATTTGCTACATTTCATGCTGTTTTATTTTCCTTACTGGGAGAGCTCCTTGAAGGAGAGCATACATCTGGCCTATCTCAGCATCCTTTCCATGGTCTCTACCACAAGAGGGCTTCAATAAATGTATACTGAATGAATAATACCCCCCTTATTGTTATTTTGCTTAAATCAGATCTTTGCTTATACTCTTTAAAAACCTTGATTAGTCTCCAATTAACCTATGCTTACTAGACTTATTTTGCAACATAAAAAGATCACTGGGGTCTCCCTGGTGGCACAGGGGTCAAGTCTCCTGGTATCAAGCTATTGCCAGCCACTGTGGCATGAGTTCAATCCCTGGCCAGGCAGCTGACCCACATGGCACAGCAGACCTCTCCTGTCTCATCCACTGCTCCCCTTAGCAGTGTATTTCAGTAGATCCCCTTCTTTGCCCCCCTCTCTGTCTCTGGTGAATGCTCTGGGGTGGCATGCACCCCAGTTTTTATCTGCATAAAAATAAATCTTTTTTAAACATCACTGAATTTCCTTGTGAATAAAATCTGAATTTTAGTCCTAATTTTGCTATTTCGCCACTTTAAATCTCATTTTTCTCATGTTTAGACTCACAGAAGGCAGGAGTTATGTCTTGTTTATCTTTTAATTTCTGCAATAGCATAGTATCTAGGTTATAATTTTAGTAGCTAATATTTATTAATTCCTATGGCTTTTATACATGTTAACATTCATATAAGTTCTGTGAGCTAGACACTTCTGTCATTTGCATTTCACAGATGGGAAAACCAAGACAGAGAGGTTAAATAACTAATTCAAGGTCTCACAGGTAGTAATGAGGGAGCCACAACATGAACCTGGGAATGGGGTTCCAGAATTCAGTCTTAACCACATGGTCACACTGCCTATCGATGTTTTCAAATGAATGAAAGATGGTAATGTCTGCCTCGAAACTAGTGAGTGTAAGAGAGAGACCACATAGAAAGCTCTTGGAAAACTTTAATGACTGTAAATGTATATAAGTCCTCTCTAGCTCCCTTTTATTGAGCTACTATATGGCAGGCACTGTACACACCTATTTCTTTTTTTTTTTTTTTTTTTTTTTTATATAGAGGCATGTTTATTTATTTGTTTTGTTTGTTTGTTCTGTTTACACATGCACTGGGTACAGTCAGAAGCACGGGAGGGTGAGAGAATTCACCAGAGCCAGAGCGGGGAGCAGAGCAGGCAGAAGGACCGAAGTACACTGCTGAGGGGAGCAGCGGGCGGCAGGAGAGGTCTACGCGCCATGTGGGACCCTCCTCCGGTGGCCGGGGAGCAGCCGGGGATCGAACCGGCGCCGCAGAGGCCGCGGGCAGCTTCGTAACCCAGCGCTCAACCGCTGCGCCACCGGGGAGGCCCTGTACACACCTATTTCTAATCCTCACCACACTCTTGGCAACAGGTATTATCAACACAGTTGACAGGTAAGGAGACAGACTCAGAGAAGGTAGGTATCTTGCCCAAAGTCACACTGTGAAGGCAGAACTAGAATTCAAATCCAGGTTTGACTGGCTCTGGTCTATGCTCTCTGCACGTTACTGTGCTGCACTGAGCTTTTCTCTGACCAAATTAAGGTAGCAAAGTGAAGTAAACTCTGTTTTATTCACAATTAAAACAAGCAGAATATTGTCACAGTCGTATATGAAAGCAGTTAGCACTTATAATGATGTTTTAGAGGTTCTGCAACCTACTATATCTTCCTACTATATCTTTCAACATGAATGAGGCAATTAGGACCCAGGGAGAAATTATTTGCTGAGCGGTCACACAACCAATTAGTGGATCTGTCAGGACTAGAATCCCGCACCAGTCCCCAGAATGCTAACTCCTTGTCCAAAGCTTTTACTAATTTACAAAGCTGTCCACCAGCCCAGTCTTCTTCCTATTGGAGAGTCTAAGGTAGAGGAGAGGGGTAGAAAAGGATTGGAAATGAAGTGGGAATAAAGTAATTGCAAATGTTTCCAATTAAAATGAAGACACAGCAGTCTTGTCTGTGTGTTTACAGTGGAGTTTCCTGAACGTCAAGTACCAGGCAGCGGTTGGGATGGTGAGGTTTCCCAGAGCCCTGGAAGGCGGCAGCCTTCCGGAAGCTTTCTCCGTGCCAGCTGCCACAAAAAAGAGCCGCCATGGCTGGGAACTCTGGTGGAAACAACTCCCACCCTCAAAGGTGCTGACACTTCAACTATGAGAATTGAAAAAGGATACACAGGCTTTAATTTTCCTTGGAAAACAGTAACTTCTTTTTTTTTGTAGAGGAAGTATGGCAGGGAAAAGTAATTTACTGGAGAGCGTGACTTAGTTTGTAGGATAATTAAAATGTGAATATGGACACGTCTTTAGCTTGAAGAATAAGTTTCCCAGAAGGTGTCCGCTTCTTTCCCTACCTCCAGCTCCTGGGAGACGACTTCCTTTTTTTCTATCTCTTCCCCTCTAGAAGGTAAACAGACAAGAGACAGATGCGTAAATCAAGAAGGAAAGCTGTGGAGACAGTAGATTCTTCTCCAGTAAAAACAACACTTCCACTGAGCTAAAGAAACATGACCGAAAGAGTTGCATGTGCTGACCCAGAGCTGATGGGAAGACGTGACCTCCCAGGTGGTGTGTCTGAAAACTGGTAGAAGGTTGTATCAAAATATTTTCATTAACCTGTCAAGACCTGAGATTTCCACTGTGAAAGTTAGTGATCTGTCAGACCAGTTGCACTTAATTGTAGTCTGTGGATCCTTAGGAGTCCGGGAGACTCTTTCAAGGGGTCTCCAAGGGCAAAACAATTTTCATAATAACACTAAGGTGTTATTTATCTTTTTAATTAACATTTGTAAACATTAGTGCAAAAGGAATGGTGGGCAAAATTGCTGGTGCCTTATCACAAATCTAGCCAGTTACTCTAAAACTGCACTAGCAGTTGTAAGTGGTCTTCACTTTCACGCATGAAAAAAAAATCCAGTTTCACTTAATATTCTTGAAGCAGTAAATAGCTAGTTTTATACAATCTCAACCCTTGAATACATGCATTTTTAATATATTAAGTGACAAAATGGGAAGTACACATGTGCTTCTGCTGCATATGGAAATATGACGGTTGTCTGAAGAAAAGCACTGTGCAACAATTTAAGCTGCTAACTGAACTGTTTTTGACATGGAATGGTATTTGATATTTTACTTGATCAGCTGACAAGTTACATTTTTTATTCAGACTTGGGAATCTGACATTTTCTCAAAATTGAACAAAGTGAGCTTATCAATTCAAGGAAAACAACTGGCAGTATTTGCTGTTAATGATAAATTTTAGGATTTCAAGTAAAATTTTAAACTTTGGAACACTATGTCACCATGGTGAAGCTGACAGCCTCCAAATACACAAATAAGCATTTTCTGATAAGACTGGTGGTGAGATGAGCAATTATGATTTTTTGATACTGCATAATGAAATGTGTCAACATTCGGATATTTGCATGTATCAGAGAACCAATGTTTTCCAAATGACCAATGAAATGCACCATGTTCCAAAGTCCTTGCAGGTAAAAGATGCATTCAAAGAGTAAGACAGACCAATGAATTTTAATGTAGCAGCGGTCAAGACGTTCACTGCCATAATTTCAGGTTCCACACTGCAACTAACCTTTCAAAAACTGCTACTTAAGAAAAAAAACTACCACGTGGTCAATTTTTGATGTAGGGTCAAAGAATATCCATGATGATCTGAGAAGGCTGTTAATATATCCCTACCTTTCACAACTATAAATTGATGTGAAGCTGGATTTTTTTCATGTAATTCAACCAAAAAAAATTTACAAAGCAGATATGATTATCTAGCAGTCTTCTATTAGGCCAGATATTGATGAGATTTATAGAAATTTAAAATAATCCATGTCTCATTAATTTTAATATTTTAATATTTTAAAAATTTTAATATTTAATAAATTTATTATTATTTTAAAATTAATACATTTTAAAATAGCAGTAATACTCACTCTGGCAGTATATATACCAAAGCTGGAATGACAGAGAAGATCAGCATAGCCTCTGTGCACGGATGATATGTAAATAATGAAGTGTGAACCTGTACTCCTAAACATAGTGTTGTCAACTAGTTGCCTCAATTAAAAGTAAAATTAATAACAATAAGAAAATTAATTTGTGGTAAAATATATAACCTAAAATTCACCATTTTAACCACTTTAAGTACACAATTCAGTGGTACTAACTACATTCACAACCAGGTATGCAGCCATCATGATTTATTTCCAAACCTATCTCCCCACCCAGAAATACTGTACTCGTTAAGCGCTCTTGCCTCCACCCAGACTCTGGTGACCTCTCCTCTACTGTCTCTCGATGACTTTTTCTATCCTAGTAGTTCGTATCAGTGGAATCACAAATATTTGTCCTTGTAATTCTGTGACTTGACCTGGCATTAATGTCATCCATATTGTCCATGTATTCCTTACTTTTGCAACTTCTCTTTACCATTGAACAAAATTCCATTGTATTTACCAACACAGATAATCACGTTTTGTTTATTCATTCACTTATTTACGGGCACTCGGTCCCCATTCATTCAGTCTTTACACCTTGTGATTATTGTGCACCATGGTCCCCTGGACACTGCCGATACACAAGCATCTGTTTGTGCCCCTGTTTCCAATTCTCTGGGGTATGTTCCTTCAAGTGAGAACGCTGGGCCATAGGGCATAAACACAATGACATGTCTTGACTTTTTGAGAAACTCCCGAACTGTTTTCCGTAGCAGCTGTACCATTCCCACCACTATATACAAAGGCTCCAATTTCTTCAGATCCTTGCAACAACTCTTACTTTCCATTTAAAAAAAAATTAGTCATCCTAGCAGGTGTGAAGTCTCTCCGTGGTTTAGAAATCAAAGTGGTTTTGATTTCCATTTCCCCAGCGACTGGCGACATTGAGCATCTTTCCACGCGCTCGCTGGCCTGTGTCTTCCCCGGAGAAGCGTCCATTCTGGTCCTGTGCCCGTCTGGTCCTGTCGGTGCTTCTCGTCTACACTTCTCCCACAGAAACAGGTGTGTTATTTGTAAGTGTTTCCTGCCATCTGTGGGCTGCCTTTTCACCCTGCTGATGTGCTCTCTGATACACAATTAAAACAAACTTTAATGAAGTCCAATTTCCCATTTTTTCTCTTTCCTGTGCCTTTGGTGTTATAGTAAAGAACTTGCTACTAAGTCTAAAGTCATGAAGATTTGCCCCTTTTCGTCTAAATTTATGCTTTGAACCACTTTTAGTTAACTTTTGTAAACTGTTTAAGGTAAGGGTCTAATTTCACTCTTCCACACGTGGGATAGCCAGTCTCCCCAGACTGTCCTTCCTCCCTGGAATGATCCTGAAATTCTAGTTGAAAAGCAATTAACCAGTTGGAAAAAAAAAAAAAAAAAAAAAGAAAAGCAATTGACCATAGATGTCAAGGTTAATTCTGGAACTTCAATTTTATTCTGTTGGTCCATAGGTTGTCCTTATGCCAGTACAATTTTCGATTACTTGTAGTTTCGTAGTAAGTTTTTAATCGGGAATTGAGAAACTGCTTGCGGGAGGGGGGGGGGTGTCAACTTTATTTTTTGTAAGATTGTTTTGGTGATCTTACATCGCTTAAACTTTTATATAAATTTTAGGATGGGATTGTCAATTCCTGCAAAATATGTCATTGAGATTTTGATAGGGATCGCATTGACTCTGTAGATTACTTTGGGTACTATTGTCCCCTCAATGATATTAAGTCTTCTAATCCACAAACAGGGGATATTATTTTCTTTCAGCAATTTTTTGTTTTCAGTGTCCAAGTTTTGCCCCTCTTTGACAAAATCTATTGCTAAGTAGTTTTTTCTTTTTGATGCCTTTTGTAAATGGGATTATTAATTTTATTCTCACATTGTTTATATACAATTACAACCATTTTTTTTTTGTATGTTCATTTTGTATCCTGCAACTTTGTTGATCAATTATAAGCGTTTTTGTGTGTGGCAGATTCTTTAGGGTTTTCCACATATAAGATCATGTCACCATCAAGTAGCAATAGTTTGACTGCCTTTGCAATTTGTATTTCTTCTTCCTGACTAATTACACTGGCTACAACTCTAGTGCTATACTGAACAGAAGTGGGGAAGGTGGGACATCCTTGTCTTGTTCCTGACCTTAAGGAGGAATCTTTAACTTTTTTTTGGAAAGCTTTAACTTTTAACCACTGACTATAATGTTAGCTAGGTTTTCCTTATATGGCCTTTATCATGTTGAGGAAGTTCCTCTATAACTTGAGTGGTTTTGTTTGTTTTTTATCCAGTTTTGTACATGTATCTCTTTATTTTTCTTCCCCGGGTAGATTTATTTGATGATTATGAAATTCCATAAAGTTGACACCAATTTACATTGCCATCAACAACATGCAAGGGTTGCCTTTCTCCACATCCTCTCCAACACTTACTTCTTCTCCTTTGGATAATAGCCATTGTCACAAGTATGAAGTGATAGCTTATTTTTTTCATTTCCTTTTCCCTAATAATAAGAGATAATGTACATCTTTTCGTGTACCTGTTGGCCATCTATATGTCTTCTTATATCGCGAGTGTTTTTATAATGAAAGGTTGCTAACCTTAGTCAAGTGATTTTTCTGCATCAGTTGAGATGATCATGTGTTCTCCCCCTTCATTCTATGAAGGTAGTGTGTTATATTGTTTGGGTTTTGTATGTTGAAGCATTCTTGCATTCTGAGGTAAATCCCAGGAATGTAAATAATGCTAATATTTTCATTAAATTTTAAAAAGTTATTTTGATATATGTTAACATTTAATTATGTATTATTTTAAAGTTAACAAGTATGCTGTTTTAATTCTTGTTTTAATTTTCATGTGATAAATATTGACAGGATAACCCACATAATCAAAATCTCTTTGGAAACCTCAATAATCTTAAGAGTGCAAAGGGGCCCCGAGGGAAAAAAATTTTTTTTGAGAACTGTCCTAAGGTTTGCCATCGCTGATGTATAAACTTACATGAGTAATAAATATACAGCATGTACCAACAAAATACCTGGTAAAGAAAGTCCTACAATATCAGCCAGTCTTCCAGGCTGGGGGAAGGCAGACAAGGATGACCTGTGGGAATGCACTAGCTTGTGTTTGCAGTCTATGATCCTAACTTTAAAATTACCTGATGCTGTTCCCATATCTGATTTTGAATTTATACACACTGGGTCCTGCATGAAGAAACCTCGTCTCTGGAAATGGGTAGGTAAAAGGTTTTAAACTCATTGCTTCCAAAAGATAACCTAAATAAAGTAGAAATATTAGATAATTACTAAAAAGCTAAAGATAGCTTTTTAAATGTCTGGGAAAGATGATGCAATATCTCTTCATGAGTAAAATGTGCAACACTCAGCACCACTGCCTACATCTCAGGCTCAGTTCTGCTGTAAGTCCCCTGAACCATTCTCCTGCCTGCATGGGAAGCACAAATGGTATGGTGGGACAATTTCTAAACTTGAAGTCAAAAAACGTTTGAGTTGGGGGCCTCCCTGGTGGTGCAGGGGTTAAAGACACAGAGCTATCAAGCTATTACCAGCCACTGCATGACAAGTTTGAACCATCCCCAGCCTGCCAGGGAGCAACCCACATGGCGCAGCAGACCTCTCCTGTCTCCCCCGCTGCTCCCCTCTGCAGTGTATTTCAGTAGATCTGCCTGTTCTGCTCCCCACTGTCTCTGGTGAATCCTCTCACACACCCCCATCCCCGCACCTCTGGTCTACACCCCAGTTCTTGTAAGCATAAATAAATCTTTAAAAAAAAATGTGAATTGGAGTTTTGTCATTGTCCTTACCACTTTGTGCAAATCACTTCTTTTCCATAAAACTAACACTACTAACATCTGATGACTCACAGGGTTTTTCTTAGGGTTAAATCTATCTCCTAAATATCTCTTGAATCTATTCTCTCCACTTGTCCCCACTTTTCCTAGAACCTAGGCCAATGTGAAGAGAGCTCAATGCAACAATTCAAAGGGGGGGGGGGAAAGCATGATTAGAAAGACTTCTGCTATCAATTTCAGATGATGTTAAGGGACTAGCACATCCTTCTGCTACAGCCAATGCAGCAAGTAAGGGCGTTCACTAGCGTTTCCAGCGGTGCCAAGGAATGTGTTATATTCACGACCTCTCAGCTACTCTTCCCCCTCACCGTTGGTGAGACTGCTGGATGCCCCAAGAGTGCCCACTAGACTCCTAGTACTTGTGAGTTTTACTTTTCCTACTCCAGAGTTTCTGCTCACCTAAGGTTCTCTTTGTCAGGAACTCAGGAAAGGGGAGAAATGGAAAAAGAAGGCTGGCATGTCTCTTTTGCTCTAAGACGGCATTTGGTATGTACTCCTAAGTAGGAATTAAACACACTGATTTTCTGTCACTAGAACATTTCTGTGCCTCTCTTTATTTGTAGAGATAATAAATGCTGGACTCTTCATGAAAAATTAAATAATAAATGACAGTAAGAGGTCCAGAGTTCCTAAGGATCAAAGCTACTTATATAAAATTTAAGATATTGATTTCAGAGGCAGCCAAGATGAAGCAGATAGAACAGGCACAAAAGAAGAATAATTTGGGTTTTTAATCTCAGCCCCAGTGTCCCTATTTAGTTTCTCTGGCCCTTTACTTTCTTATTTATACAATAACAACAACTAGCAGCAACTACTTTTTGACATGTCCTATTTGAAGTACCTTCTATATATTATCTCAATCCCTACAACAAGTTTGTGAGAAAATCTGATAGATAAGGAAACTGAGGCAGTGAGAAAGGAAATAATCTTCTTATAGCTCTGAAAGCTGGAATTGGGATTCAAACAGAGACAATGTAAATCCAAACTTGATACTCTTAATCATTTTGTAATCAGTAAAATATTATGCACACATTAAGGACTATTGTCATGGAAAACTCTTGTATGATGGAGTCAAAAGATCTATGTGCCCAAAAACCGGAATTTCCCATGATTTCCAAAGTTCAAGTCTGGGGCTGCCAGTAAAGCGATATCCCACTAGTCTGATCTCGGCTGCTTGGGATTAGAATGACAGGCGGCTGGAGCCAGAGCCCATGAGACTATTTAGACTAGAATTGCAGTCAAAGTGAAAAGAAATAGTTGTTGTCAACAGTGAAGTTACCAGAGAGGAAATACTGTTCATATCCTGAGAAAAAAAACTTGCTGATTCCCCATGCCAAGGCATGGCAGGAACCCAGGCTCAGTCTGAGGGGATTTTAGTGCTACCTGGTAAGACTTAGATTGCTGGCACAAACATTTAGCTCTCAGATTCCTTTAAAATGTAGACACCTCTCCCTACAGACTAAAGACTGGGGTGCAACAGGGCAAAGGAAATGAAGGCTGTCTGTTGGAAATGACAATCCAAAAAGGAAATTTCATGTGCTGCACCACAGCTGGCTGTCTGAAAGAAGTGAAAACAACCCCTTTCTAGCTGGGGCCTGTTCCTGTTAATTAATGGCTGCCCGCTTCAGAAACAAACACCACACACTAATTAACTCATTTGAAAATAAAGATTAGACAGCATAATCCAAAACAAGCATAGTAGTAGTGGTTCAAAGATTTCACAAGGTTATTTTCTAACACTAACACGCAGTCATGGTTATACTCCCTCTCCGTAACTATTATTAAGTTGATTAGATCTTGCAGATGAAAGGTCAGATTCTCAACCCATTTTTAGGTGCTCACAAAACATGATGGCTTTTAAACAAAAGCACAGTCACAGGCTGTATGGGATAGTGGGAAAGATCTAGGATTTGGAAGTGGAGAACCAAGACTCTGTCTCTTACTAGTCATTAGACCCTAAGTCAGTCACTTAGCCTCTTTATTTCTGTTTCTATATCTACCAATGGGTAGATGAAATCGTGGTGGTGATTAAATAATGTTGTAAATGATACTTTATAAACTCTATAGAGGATTATATAAACATTAGCTATTTTGATAGATTTGAAAATGTTCTCCCTTCATGCTTCACTAGAAAAGCAAATCCAAGAGAGGAAAACTGACTAGCTTTAATCTCAGTGCAAAATATGTCAAATACCAATCAAGAATCTTTCCTTCAAAATCTCCAATAATTAGATTTATTTATTTTTTTATTTTATAGAGGCATGTTTATTTGTTTATTTGTTTGTTTTGTTTACACATGCACTGGGTACAGTCAGAAGCACGGGAGGGTGAGAGAATTCACCAGAGCCATAGCGGGGAGCAGAGCAGGCGGAAGGACCGGAGTACACTGCTGAGGGGAGCAGCGGGCGGCAGGAGAGGTCTGCGCGCCATGTGGGACCCTCCTCCAGTGGCCGGGGAGCAGCCGGGGATCGAACCTGCGCCGCAGAGGCCGCGGGCAGCTTCGCAACCCAGCGCTCAACCGCTGCGCCACCGGGGAGGCCCTCCAATAATTAGATTTAAATGGCATATAGGCACTGATGTTACAAAGAGAGATTTTTCAAGATTTCACATAAGGAAACATCTGGGTCAGTGTACAGAATGGGAAACAGGGCTGAATGCCACATGAGGGTAATGATGGCATTAGGAGATGCCCAGGAAATATTGTCACTAAATACGCAGTAATACTTGATGGAAACATCCTCCACAGAGCTAAGGAATAAGAGCCTTCACAAGCACTTATTCAAATTACATTTACTAAGTGGATCTAATATACGAAAGGCTCCAAGACCACTAATGAGTGTGAGCAACACAATAGGGAAACCCCACAGATGCTATGACCCTAACACCCAAGTTTTAAAATTCAGTTTGAGGACAATGCCCAGCTTCTAGCTGGTCTCAAGTGTGCCCACCTTTGCTGAAGTAGATTCAGAAGTGCCCTTTGTTTCAGAGGGGATGAGAGGGAAGTGACCTCACCAAAGAAGGAAATGACTTCTACAAGGTCACATAGCTCAGTATGGAAGCAGGACTACCCTCCCCCAAGATTGCTGACTCCTTTACCCATACATTTTCCATTACCACATAGCACCTGGTGAGTCATTTTATTAAATTGTAACCTTCCTCACTCTCCTGATGCTGAATGACTCAAGGCAAACTCGGTTTGGGTACAGAAGCATAAAACCAATATATATGATTTTCCAAATACAAGTTCTGAAAATACTATCTTGTAAAGGGTTACATTAACATTTGTCTGTCTTCAAGCTCTATCTTCAAAAGGAACTATTCTCCACATCCTTACCTTGCAGGATGATTAGGGAAGTTAATGAAACAGTGCTCGTATACTTGCTTATTGTACTGCTTTACACATAAGCTATCCAATAAAGAATCGTTCTTTTCAAAACAAAACAAAGTGCTAAAATACGGGACAGGAAGTGGCTGATCTAAGAATATCTAGGATACTCCCATAGTGACTGATGTCGTTCTGTTTTCTCAGTAGGTTTCTTTCTACTCTTTCTGGAAAGACACAATCTTCAAAATGCCACTGGCATTTGTTCAGGAATAGATTTGCCCTTAGAACTGTGTCAGATTTTGTTTTGTTTTGAATGGGGTGGGGAGAAGGGTAACTAAACCTTCCATCAGAGAGGTAGAAAGACACCCTGAAATGAAATCAAAAGGCCTACGGGACCAGAAAGGAGTGTAAGTCTAGAGGCACCTAAGTGCCTCTTCCACCTCCACCTTAACCATCCTAAAAGTTAATGGAAAAACTACCTTTGGTCAGTATGTCCAGAATTATTATTGCCTCTGTTCTGGAAAAGCAATAGGATGGTATCTCGGCTCACCACTCTGTCTGGTAGATGTGGCCTGTTACATGAAGATCAACCCATTAGCATTCACGTCACACAGAATTCACCGCAGCAGTCTAAAAATCCTACCAACTCCCAGGAACCTAAAAAGCATTTTGCATGTAAAGCTGCAGGCAATGAAGGCCATTTTACTTTTTGGTTACACAATGGGGTGAACCGCCCTGAAGCTGTACATGTGAAAAAGATTAAAAATGGAAAAGGGAAAAAAAGCATTAGTCGTTTCAGAAGGGTAAGTGGTGGAGAGAATATGTAGAGACCAAACAAATTCTTTATAATTTTGAGCTGAAAACACTGAGTCCTTGATGTACAAATCTCGAGGGTCTTAGTGACAGACAGCTAAAAGAAAGTATGAAAAGAAAGCCTCTAAAATAAACAGCTTTGTTCTTGGCAGGGAAAAATGGTAGATTCTGAAGAAATTAAATTAATAAGAAAACTACTTTTTATATAAAGAGAACCAATGTTACACAGGAAATTTGAGCTATTTTGCCAACTTTAACCCAATTCTGTTGAGATATTGCAGAGATGAGAATTGTATTCACTAAGTTTACAACCAAATATACTTGACTAGAAGAGATGGCCTAATTTGGCCAAGGTCACACATCTAAGGCAAGACTAAAACTCAGATGTATTGTTCAAATAAGATAGTCCAGCTGAAGGCAGGGTGTCAAGAATGTAGCTCTCTTGGGCCTCCCCAGTGGTGCAGCGTTTGACCGCTGGGTTGCAAAGCTGCCCGCAGCCTCTTGCAGCGCCGGTTCGATCCCCGGCTGCTCCGCGGCCACAGGAGGAGGATCCCACATGGCGCGCAGACCTCTCCTGCCACCTGCTGCTTCCCTCAGCAGTGTACTAAGGTCCTTCTGCCTGCTCTGCTCCCCGCTCTGGCTCTGGTGAATTCTCTCACCCTCCCGTGCTTCTGACTGTACCCAGTGCTTGTGTAAATAAACAAACAAATAAATAAATCTTTAAAAAAAAAAAAAGAATGTAGCTCTCTTATGAACTGGACTAGATTCAATAATAGCCTCAACTCTTTTATATAGTACTACCTAAACATAGCTCTAAAATAACAGAATCAGGGCCTCCCCGGTGGCGCAGCGGTTGAGCGCTGGGTTGCGAAGCTGCCCGCAGCCTCTGCAGCGCCGGTTCGATCCCAAGGAGGGTCCCGCATGGCGCACAGACCTCTCCTGTCGCCAGCTGCTCCCCTCAGCAGTGGACTTCGGTCCTTCTGCCTGCTCTGCTCCCCGCTCTGGCTCTGGTGAATTCTCTCACCCTCCCGCGCTTCTGACTGTACCCAGTGCTTGTATAAATAAATAAATCTTAAAAAAAAAAAAAAAAACAACAAAAACAGAATCAGGTATAATTGCCAAGAAACATAAAAACCTTCATACTTTGAAAATCATCCAACTATAGGGATTTGATGAACAGGCCTTAGCAAAAACAAAAACAAAACTCACATTTGCAAAGCACCTTCACTTTACATGATGCTTTCATACCCACATCTCACAAGATCTAAAAAGCTATTGATGCAGGCAGGGCAGATTGAGCTAATTTACCTTCCATGCTAACTGGTCTCCTTTTACCTGATTTGATTCTCTCCATCTTGTTTTCATTCAGCATTCATTGAGTTCACAAATACTATGTTCAGACAGGAAGAACTGGAGATAAAGAATTTGATCCCTGACTCCAAAGAACTTAAAAATAATTTTAAATGCAATGACCACTACTCAAGAGGGTAGGGTGATATGGGAACATGTTACAGAGAAACCTACACTAGCATGGAAAGAATTCTACTCTAAGTAAGTGGCTCGCATTTGAAGGAGGAGTATGAGTTAGGAAGGCACAAATGGAGAGTGCACAAACAGCAGATGCAAGAAACCTGTTAGGAGAGAGCATGGCACTTTCACAAGAGAGCAGCACAGTAACCTGAAACACAGTGGGCAAGAACAGTGCTATACCACAGATAAGCAGCGAGTCAGTCAGCACACACTGGAGAAACCTACTATGCGTCGGGCACTGTTCTGAGCACCAACAGAGTAGGTTAACAAGAGAGACATGATTCCTAATTTTTAAGAGCTTTTATTTTAGGAGTGGAGAGTAATAATAAGCATATAAATAAATGTAATGTGAAGTAACCTAAGTACGACGAAGAAAAAAAAATAGTGTTGTAATAGAGTGATGGGGAGGCTGCTTTAGCTTGTGTGGCCTTTCAGAGGCCACAACTGAGTTGACAGGTCTTAATGAAAGGTGAAACCACCATTCGAGGAAGTCAAAGGAAAAGCATGCCACACAGAGGGAAAACAGCCAGCACAGATGTCCTGTGATGGGTGGGTTAATAAACCGAAAGGCCAGTGTGACTGCAGCGTAGAGAATGGAGAGGGTTGAGGGAGATGCAGTCAAAGAGCCAGGCAGGGACCAGATCATGTAAGGCCTGCAGGCCACTGTAAAGAGTTCGGATTCAATGTTTTTATAAAGGGAAGTGAAATGTTTTGACAGGTTTTGAAAAGCACTCTGGCTGCAGAAGAACTAGGGGAGGACAAGAGCAGAGACAGGGAGATCAGTTAGGAAGTTTCTGTAGCAGTCCCTGAAAAAGATGGTATTTGGACTTAGAGATCTCAGCGGTTCCTGAACAGCTGGACTGGAGGTATATTTTAGACTGAGAGGCTAGATGCGGGAATCAAGGATACTATTGTGTTTTCAGCCTTTGCAATTAGGTGGATGATGCTCCATAGCCTTTACTGAGATGGCAAAGAGATTTGCAGCGAAAAATCAATAGTTCTGTTTTGGTTAAGTCTGAGAGGTCTATTCTAGTGGCTCTGCCGAGGGTGTGGTTCCCTAGTGTGCAAGGGATGGAAATCAGGATGGAAATATCAATGAGCCATCAGAGTTTAGATGGACTGAGGCTATTAGAGCAGATAAGATCATCTAGAGAGAAAGCAGAGAAGGGGTGGGGACCTTCCCTACAGGCCGGGTCATGGATTGTGAATTCTAACCTGAAAGCAGGAGAAGGTAACTTGAGGGTACAGTAAAAAATGACGTGACCACAGAGTTGTGAGTTTAAGAAAAATAGATCCTTCCAGTTGTACCGTGGGAAATAAGCCAAAACAAGAGCTGATGAAAGAGGCCCAGGTAGGAGCCCCCTGTGATTCTGGGCAGAAGCTGACGGTGGCCGGTCTACACGCTCACAGTGAGCTGGAAAGAAGCGGCGTGACTTGGCAGCTGTCTAGCCTGACGGGGTGAGGCAGAAGGCACAGTCCAGGATGAGCCCAGTTGCTTGAGCAACTAATTAAAGGGATTCAAGTGCCACCTACTAAGTCGGTGTTTGAGGAAAAGATGAGGCGACCAGGACACGCCCCGTGGTGGGGCCGGGAGAGGCCACGGGCCGCCGCGGCAGGTTTACTGCCCGCCCCGTTCCCCTGGGCGTTCTGGGACGTCCACGGCCCGCGCCCTTCGGTCCCCTCCCGGGCGCCTCAGGGCGCGGGGCGGGCGGAGACCTCACCGCGGCCCTGACTCGGGCACCTGCGCCCTGGGCGCAGCCGGGCAGCCCGAGGCTGTTCCAACCCTGAGGAAGCGACGCGCCAGGAACGCATCTTGCTCGAGCTTCTGTGACGGGGCCAACTTCTTCACAACGAGGGCGGGCGGGGGGCGCCGGGGCCGCGGGGCGCGGAGGACGGAGCCCGCGGTCGGCGGGGCCCACGACGGTCTCGGGCTCGCGCGGCTCCCGCGCCTGGGGAAGGCGGCGCCGTCCTCCCGCCGCCCCGGCGCTCCCGGGCCGCGAGGCCGGCCGTGAGGGGTCCGGGGGCCGCGGCGGGAAGGGGCCTGGGGGCGCCGCGGCGCGACGGGGAGACGCGCCGGAGCCAACCTCGGCGCGCCGGGCCGCCGCGGGCCGTTACCTCAGACCCCAGGGCCTCCGGCCCGGCCAGACGCCTCCGCACACACGGGCCGGGGTGTCTTCGCGCCTCACACAAGCGGCCGCCACCAGCGTCCCCAGCACGCGCGGCCTCGCGCCCGCCGGCCTCGCCTCCAGCCCGCGCCCGCCCGCCCGGCCTCCTGCGCACGCGCCCGGCGCGGCCCCGCCCCCCGGCGCGCCGGGCCTCCGCCGGGTCTGCGCGTGCGCGCCGCCGCCCCGCCGCGGGTCGCGGGGCAGAGGCGCGGCCGCGGGCGACAGCGGCTTCCTCGGGGGTCCCCCGCCCCGCCCCGGGCCTGACGCGGGGGTCGGCTGTGGCCCGCGGAGCGCCTGCTGTGCCGGGGCATCCCGCAGGCACCCTGCGGCCTCGCTCTCCTCCCACCCCAGCCGGCGGTGCCGCAGGTGCCAGCACCCCGGTTCTGTTGAGCCCCAGCAATGGGCGCTGATGTGCAGGCGCCAGGGGTGGGGCGCGGTTCGACGTGATTCCCAAGCCCCGCGCCTTCCATTTCCTCAGGATCAGGGCCTCCCCGGTGGCGCAGCGGTTGAGCGCTGGGTTGCGAAGCTGCCCGCGGCCTCTGCAGCGCCGGTTCGATCCCCGGCTGCTCCCCAGCCACAGGAGGAGGGTCCCACATGGCGCGCAGACCTCTCCTGCCGCCCGCTGCTCCCCTCAGCAGTGTCCTTCGGTCCTTCTGCCTGCAGCAGCAGAAGCCAAAAGAGAAGAAGCCCGAAGCAGAAGCAGAGAACGCCAGAGAGCCCAGCCTCGGTCTTCACTGCCCAGGCTGTTGCGGCTGCCGGGAGTAAGGCCCCACCCCTGTGTTAACCAGGTGGGACACCCCTGAAGTCTGAGTTAGGTCTGTCTTCTCACACGCAGGACAACTCAGCGCCTACTGTCAGGTAGTGTGTGCGGAGTCCCGGGAAAGCGAGCCCCGAAGGGGACGAAGTTGGAGACTGGAAGAGAAGAAACCGGATCCCCTTTAAAGGGGGCATCTGCTAACTAGCCTCCCACGGAAGGAAACTTGGACTTAGTAATGCCGGATCTGATTTTCATGCGAAATCTCCCAATTAAAAGTGTTGGCAACTAATTGAAATCCTTTGATGCCATATGTGGACTGAACCGAACATGTTCGTGGGCAGGTGTATCGTGACTCTGACTTCGCTCAGTGCAAAGTACAAGTTGACCAAGTTGACAGGACTGAGTCCCAGCACAGGGCCGCCTTCTGGCTGCTGCTGGGTGGACAATCCTTGCACTCTCAGAGCTGGGGAACCAAGAGAAAGACCCCCTTTCTTTGATAGGAGTGAGGGTGCAGTCAGTGCAAGGTGAAGGGGTGTTGATCTCCAGTAAAGAACAGTTTTTTCATCAACAAAATGGGCTTATTTGGAAACAACAACAAAAAGGCTGTTTGGAAAGTGCAGTCTCCCCAGTCCAGCGCCCCCTTATATAGCCTTTGGAGCTGCTGCTGCTGTTGAGTAGAAAGAGGACCTCCTTCCTTTGACTGCAACAGGGAATTTGGGGTCTTGTAGTTCGCGGATTGCACATGCTTGGAAACTTCTAGCCTCTGCTTTGTTTAAACAGAGTTTCTGTGTGTTAGTTTTCACAGGAATCAGGCTTTTGATGAGACTAGAGAAAACTGTTCTGTGCCTGTGCTGTTTATTTGTAATCTATCTGTATGGGTATTGTTTTGTCCCTAAAATTGTGGTAAAGAAGATCGGCAGGAATGGGCACAGAGCAGGTTCTCTATGACCCGAGCAGATGGGGTAAAGGAGGATCTTAGGAGCTCTCGGTGATTTTTGCAGGCTTTTATTGGGATTTACCAGGTACATGGCAGTCAAGGGTGCAGGGGGGCCGGGAGGCCAGCAGGCCACCTAGCTCCCAGCGAGTCTTCACTCTTCCTGGGCTCTCCTATGTTCTCTCATGGCCTCTGCTTCTCTGCTGGTTCTTTCTCTCTCTTGCTCCTTTAGCTCTGCTGTTCCGCTCTTTTTACTCTGCTGGCATCTGGGTGACACCGCCCTTAGAAGCCCAGTCTTAGCCCAGGTGTACCCACTTACGCATGCCCACACCCTACTCCAAGTGCCCGCCATCAGGCATGCGTTCAGGAACACGGGGTTCCATCATCTATCCTAATGGCGGGAGGGCAGAAAAGCCTGTTACTTTTTTTATCTTACAATGAGTCTTAAATCGCTTGGGGATTCCCTAGAGAGGAGGAATGAAGGCCCAGGTATGAAGGACAAAGGAAATACCTACTGTTTGGATACAAATCACCTTTAGTTCCAACCTCCCTGGAGAGAAATAGGTAGAAACCCCAGGGCAATTCCAACCAGAGGGCTTTATTACAACCCCAGATGACAGACCGCCCCACTCCCTGTCATCAGTAACTGGGGTGGCAAGTGAAGTAAAAGGAACACACGTACACTTGGAGAGAGCCTGAACCAGAGGATCTCGGTGCACACAAGCACGCACAGAGCTGTTGAGGTGGGAACAGCACCTGGAGAGCCCTAGGTGCCTTCTCAGCCCATGTGGCACACTGGCATCTCCTTCCTGCCTGAGGAAGTTACCAGCCCATATTGGGCTCCAGCCTTCATGATAACTCAGGTGCTTCTCCCACTGGGAATCTCACTGGGGGACATTATGGCTGGCAGTCAGAGGGAAGAATTCTCACCTGAGACCAGAGAGCCTAGAGCCAGAGGAAGGGCTAACACCTGAGCAGGGTTTAGTGCCAAAATGCCAGGAGAGTAGTTGAGGTTGGGAGGGGGGCCGAGGTGAAGATTTAAGAGAGTGGATGCAGGAGTTTGGGGCAATAAGATAAAGTAATAACATATTTAATCAACAAAAACGGAGTGACTGTTTTATGTGAGCATTGTTCGGGCCTTTGGGATACTTTGGTGAACAAAGTCAACTGCTATATAGAGATGATGTGGCGATCGAACTAGATGAAAGGATGGGTGGGGAAGGAGAATGGTTTAATCCTGTGAAATTGTCTGGAGCATCAGTCAGACTTGCTTCTGTGGGCCACCCCAGAGGGTGGCAAGGAATGGCCAACCCACATAAGACAGTGGGAGGGCACATTTGCTCCCCTTCTTGGACCTTTGGCTCACAAACAAAATAAGAGAAACAAAATAAGGGCAGATCAGAGAGTGCATTTGTGGTGAGACCCAAGTGCACTTCCTGGCGTCCAAGGCTAACAAGCTCCTTAATTACCCCTGGAGGACCTGCCCCTCCTTTCCCCTGCATCACCAGCACCACCAGCACCACCTCCCATGGGAGCTGCAAGGCATGCTGGGTCCTGTAGTTTGTGCTTTGTGCATGTGTAGGCACTCTCTTTCTAACCTCCGAACCTCATTTAAACAGAATTCTGAATAATAATAATGTTTGCAAGGAGGCGCGGGGCTAGCCAAGGAGAAATTTGTGCCAAAGCACATGAAATTATCCCAAAAGCAATAAAATGCTTTCAAAGCTAGATTTTGGTTTCAAAAAATGTTTCTGGAACACTCCCCTGACCCCTTTTTTCTGCCTGCCGATTCTAACTCATCCTTCAAGGCCCAGGTCAAAGGTTACCTCCTCTGGGAAGCCCTCTCTAGTCCTCCTAGCCAGAAAGATTGGCTCCTTCCAGGGGACTCTTTGTCCTCCTTGAACTTACTGGTCAGTCGGCCTAGAGGGTGGAAACTATAATTTATCCCACTTTGTACTTTCCGTGGGGCCTGGCACAGGTTCTGGCATATAGAAGGGGCCACACCTGAGAGCCCCTGATGTGCCTATGGCCACAATGCAGATGCTGCTCAGAGCCAAGCCCTCTGACCAGCAGTTCTTTTGGGGAATTTCTTTGGTCTTGACTAGTATCCCAACCCCTTAAGCTGGAGCTGGGGGTTACTGTACCTCCACCTCCTCTTCTCCCGAGGATTCCCACAGGGCTGCTCAGAGGGGCCCGGCTCACATGGGTTCCTTAACTGGAGCTTCCCTCCCACTGAGTGGTCCTCCCTACCCCTACTCACCCCCACCCTCCACCCAGAGGACAAGACAAATACTGAGCATGAGTAACAAAGCCCCCGATGTATGAAGGAAGAGCAGTGTACTTGCAGCCAGAGAGCACCCCTGTCCCCCCCAAACCCACCCACAGTTCTCAGGGCAGCCCCCTGGCCAACCCCTGATCCCAAAAGGGTCAGAACCAGATCTTGCCTTCTTCATGATCGGCTGTTCCCTGGGCCTCTGCAGCCAGCTCCGTCTCCAGGCTGATGGAAGGAGCCACTTAATCAACAGCTCCACTTCCTGCAGCACTTGGGGGTCCCGCCTCCCAGAGTCCCCAGCCACCCTCCCTTGGGCTCCCCAGGCCAATTACTCACCAAGCAACAGCAGCGCTCAGCCCTTAGCCAGGGAGGCTGGCAGGTCAGAGGCTGCAGGGAACA